AAAAAAAATGAAAATTTCAAATAATTTGACCTTCAAAGTCAAGGTCTTTATGAGGTGAGGTCAAGGTCTGGCTGGTTATTTTTTAAGGATATCCTTAAAGATTATTAATGTTCAAGTTTGAAGAACAATCCATTTAAAAATAACAAAGTTACAGCCAATAACAGCATGAACAAGCAAAAATTGACTTTTAACCTTGAAGGTCTTAAGGTCATTTATGGATGAAGGTCAAGGTTAGTTGTGGTCTACTGAAAGGGGTCTTGTCCCAAGGGTTGTTGTGGCCAAGTATGAAGACAATACAGCAAAGAAATAAAAAAGTTATGATCCAGGTACAAGTTTTCGGACGGCAACGGCAACGGCAACGGCAACGGCAACGCCGACCTGACTGTAGCAATACCTCTATTTTTTTTTCAAAAAAAAAAGTCGAGCTAAAAAAGACTGTTCTAAACTATATAAACCAGGTAACAGACGTAATAATAAAAAGCCCCTGTCAATATCAGTAATTAAAATATTTTATGTTTAACAAAAAATACTTCAAATGTGATCTGGAACTCCTACTTTTTTGTGCTTGGGAGTCTCAAGACTCCTTCTTTGTGAGAACCCTGCAACTGTTGGTACCAGTTGCACATATAGACTTGCAGAAGACCATCTGAAGACTATTTGAATATGTTAAATATATTAAAATTATATATACAGTAGCTGTGTTATTTTGGTCCCCGGAATAGTGCATGTCAGATGCTCTAAGCTTATAATACAGCATTATTATTAACTAAAAATGTTACAGAGGTGACCCTTGATCTTTTAATTGTCAGACCTGTCAGATGCAGGTAAGCATAGTACAACGGGTGATTCAAAGGGAAAGGGTACATAATAAGCAGAATAGAAAGCAAATAAGTATGAATACAGGTGCTACACGGTTAAATGACTACATACAAGAAATAAACAACACAATATCACATGCTGATAGTTTATTGCATTGATTGATTACAATCTTTGTTAAGTATGTTAAGCAAGCAACCACATCTATATATGGAAAATAAGACATTCCATCAACAAAAAAAAAAAAAAAAAAAAAAAAAATCCCTACCCTCCTAATTTTTTGGACCAATGTTTCCTGAACCAGACATATTTTTTTATTTGGCCTAACCCCAATACTGTGCTGATTTAATCCAATTTAATTATTCTCCTCCCCATTAATCAAGCATATTGTTGCCTAATTATGTAAGCACAAAATAGACATCGATAATCTGGTACAACACAATGAACATATTTTCGAGCTAATGTTATGTTAATATTTTTGTAACAGACAGAAACCTACTGTTCTGTCCTTGGTCTACTCACTTTACGTGTGCACCAGTATTCAGTTTACATTGATCAGACAAACCTAACAACATCTTATCAATATCCTCATCCAACTTTATCACATTTGAGGCAAATAATTAACAAGAGGGCCATGATGGCCCAGAAATTGCTCACCTGTATATAGGCCCCCAGGGGGGGGGGAGCCAATTGAAACCCAGGGGCTTTTATTTGAACAAAACTTGGTAGATACCCATTTGAAGGTGTTTCATGATAAATATTTAAAGCTCTAGCTCTAAGAAGACTTTATAAGTTTTTACTACACACATAGGGAAAAACAATGACACCGCCCCCCACCCCCCCCCCCCTCCGGGCGGGACCAATTTTGTCTCCAGGGCTTTTATTTGAACCAAACTTGGTAGACACTCACTAGAAGATAATTCACGCTTAATATCTAAACTCTAGCTCTTTGGGCGTTTTTTAACAGAAGATTTTTTAAGTTTTTATACATAAAAGGAAATTCAATTTTGACCCCGGGGCAATTATTTTGAACAATCTTGGTAGTTACTGACTAGATGATGTTTCATGCCAAATATTTAAGGCTCTAGCTCTCTCGGTTTTCTAAAAGAATATATTTTAAGTTTTTTCTTTCTGTTGCAATGGCAACCAGAGTTCTGATTGGAATTTAATTCTTTGAGCAATTTTTAAAAGTTGACTACCAAAGGAAACATTCCTGTGAAATTTGGATGAAATTAGCTTAGCGGTTTATGAGGAGATGTCGTTTAAAGTAAAAGTTTACGGACGGACAGACACCGGATGAAAAGCGATCACAAAAGCTCACCATGTCACTTTGTGATAATAAAAAAATCAAAAAAGCAAAAGCATTACTTGTCCATCATTGCAATAGTCTCGCAGCTTTTAAGAATGTCACCTTCAACTACTGCATAGTAGTAAGCAACTTCTGTAAATATATTCATATCTGTTTTCGATGGACCAAATTGTACTGAGTTTAATGCATTCTTGTATGTCTTCCAGTCCTAAACAAAAACAAATATAGAAGTTAATAATATTTTTCTTTTGCTTATATTACACATATTTATAAGTTTCATTTAAAACAAACAGTTATGCAGGGCTGTCAGTATATTTTTATTTGTTTGTTTGTTTAATTCATTTTACGCCTTTTTCAACAGTATTTCAGTCATATAGGCGGGTAGTTTCCTAACCATCGTTCCTGGAGAGTTACACCAGTACTAGACTACCTTCCTCCGCGCTAAACTACCAAAGCATCTCCCAGGGATCGAACCCACGCCAGAGAGGTAACTAGATTAGAAGTCATCGACTCTAACCCCTTGACCACGGAGGCGGTATCAGTATAGACTATATATCTAGAAACAATGACTTTGTTACCAAAATTTTCTGGACCCCTAACTCAATCCAATGCAAGTTATCATCCATTTAAATATTAAACTAGAAATGTGTCATCATGCCACGGATGCCCCCGCATGCAGCCAAAATTTCAGATGTTATAATATTTAGTTCCAAATTTGTTTGCACAAATTATTTTTTCATTTTAAGTTCAAAGCCCTTAAAACTTTTCAGTGTTAACACAAACCATTTCCATACAATGTTCAAGGCACTGAAATTATTCAGTCTTAACCTTTTGAAAATAGCATATTTCATATTTGTAGCCAAAATAATGGCTTCATACATTTCCACAAAAGTATGAATGCTGAAACTGAAGGTTAAAATTTTTTCCAACATTCAAGAAAGATAAGTTTGTCCAAAATCATTGAACCACGACCAAATTCAAACTTAAACTGCTTATTCCTAAGATGTATCTATATTATTTTCAAAGTGAAAGGGACATAACTCTGCCAAAAAATAATCGAACAATGACCAAATTCCAACTTGACCTGCCCATTCCTTTGACATTCCATATGTCAAATTTGAGTTGAATATGTAACACTGTTGGGTAGATAATGAACAGAAACTGTAAATTTCATATTATTTTCAAAGTGAAAGGGGGCTTTACTCTGCCAAAAATCATTGAACCATGACCAAATTAGAACTTGGCCTGGGCATTCCAAAAACATATCCATATGTCAAATTTGAGTTGAATGTGTTGTACCGTTGGGGAGATAATAAACAGAAACTGAAAATTTCATATTATTTTCAAAGTGAAAGGGGCATAACTCTGCCAAAAATCATTGAATCATGACCAAATTTGAACTTGACATGCGCATTCCTTTGACATATCCATATGTGAAGTTTGAGTTGAATATGTTGTACTGTTGGGGAGATAATGAACGGAAACTGAAAATTTCATATTATTTTCAAAGTAAAAGGGGCATAACTCTGCCAAAAACCATCGAACCATGACCAAATTCGAACTTGACCTGTATTTTATCATTACATATCCATATGTCAAATTTGAATTGAATGTGTTGTACCGTTGGGGAGATAATGAACGGAAACTGAAAATTTCATATTATTTTCAAAGTAAAAGGGGCATAACTCTGCCAAAAATCATCGAACCATGACCAAATTCGAACTTGACCTGTATTTTATCATGACATATCCATATGTCAAGTTTGAGTTGAATATGTTGTACCGGTGGGGAGATAATGAACGGAAACTGAAAATTTCATATTATTTTCAAAGTGAAAGGGGCATAACTCTGCCAAAAATCATTGAACCATGACCAAATTCGAACTTGACCTGTATTTTCTCATGACATATCCATATGTCAAATTTGAGTTGAATGTGTGCAACCGTTACTAAGATAATGAACGGAAACTGATGATGACGGAATGACAGAATGACGGAATGACAGAAGGACGGAACAGGGTAACACTATATGCCCCGGCCATTACATGGCGGGGGCCTAAAAACAGCAGTCAAAAACATGAGAGCTGTAAAAACAAGTGTGTAGAAATCCATTATTGGCACACTTGACCTTGACCTACTAACCCCTAACTCGATCAAAAAGAAGAATACCCTGCAAGTAGTCTTCCTGACAAATATAAAAGACATCTGTCAATAAATAAAGGCTGTGTTTGCAAAAGCGAAAAAATCCCCTAATTCTATCAAAAGGAAGGAGATTCCTCAATTTTTTTTCCCTACCAAACATCAGTCAATAGAAAAAAAGTAAAAGTGTTAAAATCTTTTAGAAATTGGTGACCTTGACCCAAATGACCCCTAACTGATCCCAAATGAAGAGGACCTCCTTAGGCTTGTCCGTATTAAACATAAAAGACACCAATTTAAAAATCAAGGCTGTATGTGCAAAAATTCAAATTTATTTTTAACAACATAGACCTTGACCTCAGTGACCCCTTACACCACAAAAGGAGCACTGAGGGTATCTATCTACCAAATATGGAATATATCATTCAATAAATGAAGTTTTTGGGAGAAATGTAAGATAAATCCAACCATGCAAGGCCCTATTTTCAAAGTGATAAAAAGGGAAATAACTAGGACAATTTGATGGCACAGTTATATAACTTAATTGGCAATTTCATGTACTTTGTATTGATATGTAAGTGCTGAAATTATGTAGCCATTAATATAGATAGAACTTCAGATATATCCAACTTTTAGTTTAACCATATCCATTTTCAAAGTGCTGAAAAAGGCAATAACTTGGGGGGAAAACGGAAGCAATAGTTATGTAGCTTGCCGAGATCATGTACTTTGAATTGATTAGGAAGTGTGTAAATTATGAAGCCATTGGTACAGGTAGAATTAAGAACAAGAAACATGGCAATGCCACGAAACCAGGTTTTCAATTATCTCCATTGTAGATAAATATGTTGTATTTGAAATACAATTACAAGCAATAAACTATGTAACTATGTGCAATGTAAAACATGAATAATGTAGGAGGAATTGCCACAGAAGAAGTGTTCACTATATATTCTGTATAAGGAAAAAATATATTCTGTATAAGGAAAAAAAACAAAGGGCCATAATTAGGTCAAAAATTATCCAATCACAAAACCTCTACAATATGCGTCAGGGCACTTGATGACAAAGCTTCTGTGAAAGTTTGAACAAAATCTGTTGAGAAATGTAGGACTAGTTCAGCACAGAAAAATTTGTTCACTATATATTGATAATTCTGTATAAGGAAAAAAACAAAGAGCCATAATTATGTAAAAGATTATCCAATCACAAAACCCCGACAATATGTGCCAGGGCACTTGACAACAAAGCTTCTGTGAAAGTTTGGTCAAAATCCGTTGAGAAATGTAAGAGAAGTTGCGCACAGTAGAAATTGTTCACTATAATTATTTTTTGTATAAGGAAAAAAAACAAAGAGCCATAATTACGTAAAATATTATCCAATCACAAAACCCCAACAATATGTGCCAGGGCACTTGATAAATAAAGGTTCTGTGAAAGTTTGGTCAAAATCCGTTGAGAAATGTAGGAGGAGTTGCGCACAGAAGAAATTGTTCACTATATATTCTATATAAGGAAAAAAAACAAAGGGCCATAATTAGGTCAAATATTATCCAATCACAAAACCCCAACAATATGTGCCAGGGCACTTGATGACAAAGCTTCTGTGAAAGTTTGGTCAAAATCCATTGAGAAATGTAGGAGGAGTTGCGCACAGAAGAGATTGTTCACTATATATTCTATATAAGGAAGAAAAACAAAGGGCCATAATTAGGTCAAATATTATCCAATCGCAAAACCCCGACAATATGTGCCAGGGCACTTGATGACAAAGCTTCTGTGAAAGTTTGGTCACAATCCGTTGAGAAATGATGGAGGAGTTGCGCACAGAAGAAATTGTTCACTATATATTCTATATAAGAAAAAACAACAAAGGGCCATAATTAGGTCAAATATTATCCAATGGCAAAACCCCGACAATATGCGCCAGGGCACTTGATGACAAAGCTTCTGTGAAAGTTTGGTCAAAATCTGTTGAGAAATGTAGGAGGAGTTGCGCACAGAAGAAATTGTTTACGCCCGCCCGCCCACCCGCCCGTCCGCCCATCCGCCCGCCGACATACCTCAATCTAATAACCAGTTTTTTCCTTCGGAAAACCTGGTTAACCCGACATACCTCAATCTAATAACCAGTTTTTTCCTTCGGAAAACCTTGTTAAAAATCTAACTTGACGTTTTGGGTTAACCTCACACAGATAGTCAATATGGTTTAATTACATAAACAAAATTTATTTTATCCTTTTTGTCCAGGCATGAATCATTATCAATAATCAATAACCAATTTTACATCTGACACTGCATATATGGACTAAATTTCATAGCTGTACATCAAAGGACAAGAAAGTAGGTTACTTCATCAAATTCCTCTAGGTCAGCTGATATCAAAGTTCAATTTTAGATCTTAAACTGTGCACATGGCCCAAATTTGATAGCTGTAAATCAAAGGGCAAGAAGGTATGTCACTTCATCAAATTATAGACTGAAAACTAAAACTGCACATTGTCCATATTTCACAGCTGTACATCAAATAGATATGCACAACGAATTGGTATTGTTCATTCCTAATTGTGTGCAAAAGTTTTGTGACAGACGGACAGGTGGATGGACAGACAACATAAGTTATCCCTATAGTCTCCGCTACTCAGTAGCAGGCAACACAAAATAAGCTTTTCTGTGCTGATAAAGCAGTATCAATCTTATTCATTTAAATACTGTACCTCGCTTTGAAAGCTTGTCCTCATTAAGATAATCTTGTACACAAAGGAGTCTTTCATTAATTCATAAACCTCCAAAAGTTCAGAAAGATTCATTGCCCTAAGCTCATCCTGTAAAAAAAAAACAACAAAAAGCTGAGATTTCATATTAAACATTCCCATAATCAAAACTTGCATGACATGTTCTGTCTACCCATTAGATGAGGATTACCACTACACTATGAGGGGAGTTCAAATATGAATTCAACTAGGCCAATATCTCATTTTAACCACATTTTGAATTAACTATGTACATGTATCACATGGCTCTGTAAGCTCTCAGTTGATAAATACATGAGACAAGAACCGGTTGAACCGGGTGATGCTCCCCGAGAAGGTTCTGGACACAGGAAAGTATAAAAAAAATGAACAAAGGGCAAAAACTCAAAATTTAGGCAAAGCAGAGTTATGTTTTTTTGCACTGCACTTCTATTCAATGAGATCTATCTATCTAAAAAGTTTCCTGATGATATCAGAGTTATGTCCAGGGTAAAAGTCAAAGTGTAAAAATGAACAAAGGGCAATAACTCCAAAATTAGACCAGGCTTTGTTTAGGTTCTTTAAGCATTGCAGTTCTATCAAAATATATCTAGCTACCTACAAAGTTTCATGTTGATATCTCTAATAGTTTTAAAGTAATGTCCAGGTCAAAAGTCAAAAAGTAAAAATAAACAAAGGGCAATTACTTCAAAATAAGGCAAGGCAGAGTAATGATTCTTAAGCACTGCACTTTCACCCAATGAGACCTATCTATCTACAAAGATTCATGTTGATATCTCTTATAATTTTAAAGTAATCCCCCAGACAAAGTTCAAAGTTTCAAAATGAACAAAGGGCAATAACTCCAAAAGTAGGCAAGACAGTGTTACAGTTCTTGTGCATTGCAAACTTACTCAATGAGATCTATCTACCTACAAAGTTTCATGTTGATATCTCTTATACATTAAGAGTTATGTCCTGGAACAAGTTCAAAGTGTAAAAATAAACAAAGGGGGATAATTCAAAAATTAGGCAAGGCAGAGTTAAGGTTCTTGTTCACTGCACACCTACTCAATGAGATCTATCTACCTACAAAGTTTCATGTTGATACCTCTTTTACTTTTAGAGTTATGTCCCGGACAAAGTTCAAAGTGTAAAATAAACAAAGGGGGATAATTCAAAAATAAGACAAGGCAGAGTTACGGTTCTTGTGCACTGCACACCTACTCAATGAGATCTATCTACCTACAAAGTTTCATGTTGATACCTCTTATACTTTTAGAGTTATGTCCCGGACAAAGTTCAAAGTGTAAAATAAACAAAGGGGGATAATTCAAAAATCAGACAAGGCAGAGTTACGGTTCTTGTGCACTGCACACCTACTCAATGAGATCTATCTACCTACAAAGTTTCATGTTGATACCTCTTATACTTTTAGAGTTATGTCCCGGACAAATTTCAAAGTGTAAAATAAACAAAGGGGGGTAATTCAAAAATTAGGCAAGGCAGAGTTACGGTTCTTGTGCACTGCACACCTACTCAATGAGATCTATCTACCTACAAAGTTTCATGTTGATACCTCTTGTTGTTTCAAAGTTATGTCCCGGACAAGAAAAGGGGACGGACGGACGGACGGACGGACGGACGGACAAGGCGGCGACTATATGCTCCCCCGAAATTTTTTCGGGGAGCATAAAAATCAGTTCAGTCTAGCTTTGACAATATAGCTTGATTAACTCCATTTCCTCGTGTATACTTAGCTAAAAGGGTTGGGAAAAGGTCTCCTTACATTGACCAAATACGGTCCTATATCAAGAACCGTTGTATTCTTGGTCTTCAAGTGAAAGACATGAAAAATTTAATGACATATGTTGTGTTTATGGGAAAAATGAACATTCTTTTAAATCTGTCACACGATGGTGTAATTTGTGTTGGTTTTTGATCCAATTGTCCTATAGATGATGGTGTAAGAAATTCAACTGATCTGGATTCAGTAAAAGATGCACCTCATGCCCACTGTCCGATTACTGCAACTTCACCAACAATGGTTGAAAATGATTGCTACTGATGCAAGATTTACAATTAGGTATATTGCTAAATGGGTTTGTATCTCCATAGGAGCCACTCATACAATTCTCAGATGTGATTAAAAAATAAGAATGGATACCCTATTACCTTACAGAAGAGGGTGAGAATCTCTAAACAAGGCCCTTGACTTTGAAAAACTATGCATTTAAAGATTTACCCTTTGGTACGTCAGTTTGCATAGCAGGTGCATATGTGTTTGACAATAAGAAAAGGGGTGTAACTCTGTAAAAAAGTAACTCAAGAGTTACAGGATATGTGTGCCCATATGTTACATGACTTTCTATTTCTTAGACCATTTTTATTTGTTGTGTCTTATTACAATTTCCAGAAAGCTATTCACTAGCCATTTAGCTTAACTAAAAGGCCTATTGGATGACCCTGAGTTCATCTGTCTCAAGCCCAAGATAAATATATATAAATATTACACACTAGGTTATAAACTTTTCAAAATTACTTACATGTGTGTATCTCCTTTTTGCAACTGTTTCCAATTCCTAAAATATAAAGTAAGTTTATAAGCATTAACTAGAAGTATAAGAGTAAATAAGTAATACTAATCCAGATACATAAATCAATAAAAAGTTTATACATATGATTTTTTTCTCAAAATAATTATTTTCATTGTGAAAATTTAATGGTTTGTCCTAGTCACATTTTTTATCTAACCAACATCGTGTAAACATACAAATATATTCCATTATCTTAAAACATGCAATACGCTAAATTTCTGTATTTTACAATTTCATTCATAAAAGTTAAATGGTGTAATCCAAGGCATGCAGTTTCACTATCATGATCTGACAGGATGTCATTTTAACGCAGCTCATATTCATATGTGTAAAAGTGACATGATTGTATGAGTAAAACTACTGGAAAAACCAGTTTGACATGCCTGAAATATTTTTTACAATAAAGAGAACTTTTAAAATAACCTAGAACTGAACAGTAAATTTAATTGACATGCCCGACAGAGTATTGTAAATAATAACTGTCTTTCACTGGACTTAAGCTGATCAGTCTTATTTATATATCTAAAGTCTTAATGTGTAACGACAAATGATTTTACATTTGGAATTTGCAAAACAAAGAAATAGAAAAATAAGCAACTAAATATTCATTTAAGTAATCTGTTTAGCACTCAAGTCTATATATATATAACTTTTATATACATACAAGTTTAGTGGAAAAAATAAACATAGCTATATGTTTTATCGATTTACATTACAATTATTTATCAACTTGACTACAATTATAAAAGGAAAATATCACTCAACTAACAATCATAATAGAAAAATATCACTCAACTACAATTATAATAGAACTAGAAATGTGTCATCATGCCACAGATGCCCCCGCATGCACCCAAAATTTCAAATGTTATAATATTTAGTTCCAAATTTGTTTGCCCAAATTATTTTTTTCATTCTAAGTTCAAAGCCCTTAAAACTTTTCAATGTTAACACAAACCATTTTTATACAATGTTCAAGGCACTGAAATTATTCAGTCTTAACCATTTTTATACAATGTTCAAGGCACTGAAATTATTCAGTCTTAACCTTTTAAAAATAGCATATTGCATATTTGTAGCCAACATAATGGCTATATACATTTCCACAAAAGTATGAGTGCTGAAACTGAAAGTTCAAAATTTTTCCACATTCAGGAAAGATAAGTTTGTCTAAAATAATTGAACCACGACCAAATTCAAACTTAAACTGCTTATTCCTAAGATGTATCTATATTATTTTCAAAGTGAAAGGGACATAACTCTGCCAAAAAAATCATCGAACCATGACCAAATTCGAACTTGACCTGCCCTTTCCTTTGACATATCCATATGTCAATTTTGAGTTGAATATGTAACACTGTTGGGTTGATAATGAACAGAAACTGTAAATTTCATATCATTTTCAAAGTGAAAGGGGCATTACTCTGCCAAAAATCATTGAACCATGACCAGATTCGAACTTGGTCTGCGCATTCCAAAAACATATCCATATGTCAAATTTGAGTTGAATATGTAATATTGTTGGGGAGATAATAAATGGAAACTGAAAATTTCATATTATTTTTAAAGTGAAAGGGGCATAACTCTGCCAAAAATCATCGAACCATGACCAAATTTGAAATTGACCTGCGCATTCCTTTGACATATCAATATGTCAAATTTGAGATGAATGTTTAATACTGTTGGGGAGATAATAAACAGAAACTGAAAATTTCATATTATTTTCAAAGTAAAAGGGCATAACTCTGCCAAAAATCATCGAACCATGACCAAATTTGAACTTGACCTGCCCATTCCTTTGACGTATCAATATGTCAAGTTTGAGCTAAATGTGTTGTACGATTGGGGAGATAATGAACGGAAACTGAAAATTTCATATTATTTTCAAAGTAAAAGGGACATAACTCTGCCAAAAATCATTGAACCATGACCAAATTTGAACTTGACCTGCGCATTCCTTTGACGTATCCATATGTCAAATTTGAGTTGAATGTGTTGTACCATTGGGGAGTTAATGAACGGAAACTGAAAATTTCATATTATTTTCAAAGTAAAAGGGGCATAACTCTGCCAAAAATCATCGAACCATGACCAAATTTGAACTTGACCTGTATTTTCTCATGACATATCAATATGTCAAGTTTGAGTTGAATGTGTTGTACCGTTGGGGAGATAATGAACGGAAACTGAAAATTTCATATTATTTTCAAAGTAAAAGGGGCATAACTCTGCCAAAAATCATCGAACCATGACCAATTTCGAACTTGACCTGTATTTTCTCATGACATATCCATATGTCAATTTTGAATTGAATGTTTTGAACCGTTTGGGAGATAATGAACGGAAACAGAAAATTTCATATTATTTTCAATGTAAAAGGGGCATAACTCTGCCAAAAATCATCGAACCATTACCAATTTCGAACTTGACCTGTATTTTTTCATGACATATCCATATGTCAAATTTGAGTTCAATATGTGCAAGGGTTATTAAGATAATGAACGGAAACTGATGATGACGGAAGGACGGAATGACGGAACAGGGTAACACTATATGCCCCTGCCATTATATGGCGGGGGCATAAAAAGTCTGTAGCATAATACGTAACAGCAGTGCTATTTTGAAAATGCCCAAAATGGCACGTCAGATTAAAATGCGGCCCAACGCAATGTCATTGAATAATGTGTTAAGTTGAAGAAGCGTCCAGCGTGCGTTAATTGACTACATGGAGAACATTATATTTTATCAAGATAATGCACCTTGCCATAGATTTCAAGAGACACAGATTGAACTTGATGTGTTAGGTTTTCAGAGACTTCCGTACGCCCTAAGACTTTGCAGTGTTTCCTTATTTGAAATCACAATTACCAGGTCACAGGTTCTAAAACTTCAGCGAACTCCACTAAGAAACTCAACTCTGCGAGTGTTGAGTACATTGAAGCAGGACTGTTTTGAAAACATTTATGATAAATGGGTCGACCCACACTGACAGTGCATAGCGAAAGACGGTGAATACTTTGAAAAACATTTTAAAAAATCTTATAACGTCATGGCGTTTATGACGGCGTGCGCCAGGTATGTATAGGTAGCATTCTTTAAATTTTGATAACTTGGTCAATTTTGGAGGCATTTTGATTTTATTTCGCATAGACACACATAAAAGGTGTATTGATTTTCCCCTAGCTGGAGGACTCTATTGTATTATAATTGATTGAGTAACAGACTTTGTCTACGATATTTTGGGACAACCCTCGTAGTTAAAAACAATGACACCCCTGGGGCCGGGCCAGTTTTGACCCCAGGGCTTTTATTTGAACAAACTTTGTAGACACTTAGTAGAAGATGTTTCATGCTTAATATCTAAACCATAGCTATTTGGGTTTTTTCAAAGAAGATTTCTTTAAGTTTTGCTATACACATATAAGGAAAATCAATGACCCCGGGGCGGGGCCAATTTTGACCACAGGGCTTTTATTTGAACAAACTTGGTAGACACCTATTAGAACATATTTGATGTTAAATATCTTAGCTTTAGCATTTTGAGTTCTTTAAAAGAAGATTTTTTAAGTTGTTACTATATGCATATAGGGAAAATCAATGACCCCCTGGGGCGGGGCCAATTTTGACCCCAGGGCTTTTATTTGAACAAACTTTGTAGACACCCTTAAGAACATGTTTCATGATAAACATCTAAGCTCTAGCTCATTGGGCTTTTTAAAAGAAGATACACATATAGTTAAAAACAATGACACCCCTGGGGCGGTGTCAGTTTTGACACTAGGGCTTTTATTTGAACAAACTTGGTAGACACTCACTAGAAGATGTTTCATGCCAAATATCTAAGCTCTAGCTCTTAGGGTTTTTTAAAAGAAGATTTTTAAAGTTTTTTCTTTCGGTTGCCATGGCAACCAGAGTTCTGCATGGAATCAAATTCTTTGAACAATTTTTAAAGGTGACCACCAAAGGACCATTCCTGTGAAGTTTGGATGAAATTAGCTTAGTGGTTTATGAGGAGATGTCATTTAAAGTAAAAGTTTACGGACGACGGACGGACGTCGGACGAAAAGCGATCACAAAAGCTCACCCTGTCACTTTGTGACAGGTGAGCTAAAAAGTCTTCATTCATTCACATTTGCCATATCAATTTAGTTTCTGTCTAATTAGGTTTTAATCTGAATCACAGTACATTACTTAGAATCATTTGTTTCTAGCAAGGTATGCAATTCATAATAAAATTTATTACAGTCGACATTGTATTAAGAGACCACTCAAGGGACTGCCAAAAAGTGGTCTCTTAATAAAGTGGTCTCTCAATATGGTCTCTCAATAGAATTCTGGAAAATTCGAGACTTTTTATTACAAGTCATAGATATAATAACATCTTTTTTATAAAAACAAAAACTATACAATATTAAGTATGTATTACAGTTTTATAATTACATTTATGCCTTTTTTTCTCTTTTTTTTTTAAAAGTCATCAATATTGTTTGTTTTTGTTTTTTTTAGGAGAAATTTGTGTACAAATGTGATCTACGCTCATAATACTGTCAACAGGTCATTTTGACCATGAAACAAAGCATATTGTCTTATATTTTTAATATGTTCATACACATCTCCTGCTGACCATACTTTAGAATCATCAGCCAGAGCTCCAGATAATGTTTTATGCAATGAGTTTTAAACTTCTTAATTTTTTCAACAATTAGTTTCCACACTACCCCGATTTCAAATTAAATAAGATGTTTAGAGATCTAGGATTTTTTTGTCTTTTTTTGTCGAAGGGTCATATTTAATGGGATACTTCATGTATTTTTATAAAGCATCAGATGAACACCTACACCATCAGCAATGAAAGGCTCGGTTCTGTAATGTTTAGTCCACTACGTTTCACGATTTTATTTCGACTACAATCGATGACATTTGCTATTTACTCAGACTCAATTCTATGCACGATATCCTCATACAATTTATCCGGTCTTATTAGTTGTCTGTCTTTTTTTTCTGGATCCGACGTCATTTTCGATAAGGGAGGTCACTCTGAGCACATTACAAAACTATGCAAATGCGGTTTTGTGATACGTTATTGCTCTGACAAAATATGTCACAATAAATATTACGATCGGAAAATCCGATTTTCAAACGATTGCAATTGTTATTCATTTCGTTTTTAAACGACAATTATTTGTGACCAATGACCATGAAAAATATTTGTTTGTTTGCTTGCACACATCTAACCTACTCGCTAGTTACACAGGTGAGAATGCCCTCAGGGACGATTGTTTGTCACGACCGTTTAATAGATACTTTAACACTTAATTTTGTACATTTGGGCGGACATTCAGTGGCCGCTGGCCGCGATATTAAAGTCGTTTAATGGAATCAAATTAAATAGTAAAAATCATCGGGAGGGATTTTATGCGGCCGCTTAATAAAAAGGTGGACGCAAGTACGATGCCGACTGTAATTCCAATTAAACAAGGATTGAACAAACTACTTCTTAAGATGCCTTTAGTATAACCTTATATAGAATTACATAAATATACTAACAATAACATGTGTTTTTACATGCCTCTCAGTTTATGTTGTTTTGACTTAATCTTTAATGAAAAACAATAGAGCCAGGTGATGACAAAACCAACATAGTGCGTTTGCGACCAGCATGGATCCAGACCAGCCTGTGCATCCGCGCAGTCTGATCAGGATCCATGCTGTTCGCTTACCAACCCTATTAAAAGTAGAGAAATTGATAGCGAAGAGCATGGATCCTGATCAGACTGCGCAGGCTGGTCTGGATCCATGCTTGTCGCAAACACACTATGTTGGTTTTGTCGTAACCCGGCTCAATTTATTACCTCTGGGCTAAACAGTTCTTTGAAATCCCGTGAGAACGCCCTCTCTGGACCAGATATACCCTGAAAGTAGAATAATATTCAGTGATTATTTCAGTGTTTCTTTCCCTGTATTTTACAGCCCAATAAAGGCTGTTTCCCCTAGCACAAAAAACGTTTATTTTCCCCTAAAAAACCTGTAAAAACAACAGTAAAATTCATAGATTAATTAATCAGTGGTGACACAAACCCACAAAAAAACATTAGACTTAATGTCTAAGATCATCATTGAGAAACTTCATAGCCCAAGTATCAAACCAGCGACCCCTAGACTACAAATGCCTTCCTCTCACCATTGGGCTATGTGGGCAGACAACTTATAAAGATAGCAACTTAATGATCATCAGGGTTTTCATTTTTATCTGAGGCAACAGATGCTCCAAAGCAAACAACCAATTTTGCCAAGGGTCAAGGCTGATACTTTAATATACAGGATGAAAATACAACTGATTAGAGCAGCATTTTAACCAATGGTTTGGATTGCCAATCGGTTAATAATGAAAACCCTGGATCATACCTGTGAAGTTTGGTCGAAATCTGTCATGTGAAAGAAAATAAGGTAAGAAACGGTTTGTGTAATAAATTACTAACACTGCTGAAATGTCTAAACAATTCATCATTTGGGAATACCCCAACTTAATTTGCTATTTCCAGAGGAATATTATGTGACATTATGAGTGAATAAGTGAATGTCAAAATAAATTTTCATTTTTTCATAATTCCTTTTAATACAAAAATTTATTTCACATTAACAATAAACAATGCATGGATTCAAACGAAATTTTCGTAAATATCCATTATAATTTACCTGTAATGTTCATTTCATGAAAAGAGTGGGGCAGTTTCTTTTATATTTTTGGCAGATTTAATTTTTATTCTAAACATTTTCTAATATGAACTGTTGGTCAATCACCATTTTAACAGTCAATCTTTTGAAATATATAGTCTGTTCAGCTCAACTTGACTATGAAAATATGAGCATAATGACACTTTAACATACTTATTGCTTATTGAGAAGTTTCAAAAACCTGTGACTGTGGAAACTCTGGAAATTAAGAACAATTTCAATCCGACATCACAGTGACTTTGATATTATAACCACAAAATCAATACGTTAGTCCAGTCAGTCTGTAAATCGACCTCAAACAAATTGCAACAGAAAATATTTTACCTGGTATAGAAAGTATATAGAATAACATGAATCATATCAAAAGTCTAGCAAAATCTAAGTTGCGCAACATAGAAAAAACGGGTTTTTATCGCGTTATTTTTTGTGATTTTTTTCTGACGACAACGGTCTTCCATAGGCGAACAAAGCGTCTCCGATAGTCAGAATAGCGACTGCATAATGGCGACAACAACAACAAAATAAGTGTAAACAAAATAAATGTCAGTAAAGTACACTGTAAAGTGGGTTGGTACATTTTCCTTAAAATATTACAGATCATAATAGGAATTATTAATGTGGGATCGTAAGTTTATTATGAGTATTTGATGAAAATTATTACTTGTTTTACTGTACCAGTTCTTTATCCGTTGAAGGTCAACAGGTGTTTCAAGCGATCTGTATAATAACTTTTCATGGAAAACAGTTTAATTTATATAAATTACAACTCTGATTACCTCCTGTCTTAGTAAACATTCAAAAACGGCCTAAAATGTGTATTTATAACAAGTTAATTTCGACAGTATTTTTAAACTATGGAACGCCATTATCACTTTAATTATGACGAATTACGTTAAATAAATTCTGAATACTTTAATCATGTTTTATTGTTAAATGTGTATTCAAGGTTTTTTTTTGTATTTTTTAATAGTTTTTTAAAATTGTTTTACATATATAATGTATGTTATGTTATTATTATTTCAGGGGTACCGCTTTGAGGTAGTCTTCATTGATGTATGCTTGATTTTGAAAATAAAAAAAAATCCAGTAAACTGTATGTACACTAAATGAGTAAGTTTGCTTTCCTTTACATTTGTAATATTTTTACATATATAACACAAATATCAAACATTATATTTTACTAGTTTAAGTGAATATTAAACATGGAGGAAATAGAGCGTCGTATGCATAATTCAATAATTGAATATATCTGAAATTATTTTCAGTTTTTAATAGACATAGAAGAAATTTACCCATGAAAAGGTGACATGAAAAAATTTATCAATAAACAAACGTGATTTCTAGTTATGGTTCATGATTGGCGATGTGTATGAGTTCAAGGTAAACATGCACAGTTGATCCATAATTTAAAAGAAAATCTTTTATGCATACAATAACACCTGCGCGAATTTGAAAAAGTGCATTACGTGTATAAGATTAATTCACAGCGATATATTTGTATTTCTGTCGGAATGCACACCTTAGTTGACTATAGTATAATTTTATCACTTTTAAAATCAAAATTTAAGCAAATACATGTAACAATAAAAACATCTGTGTATTCTATAAAACCTTATTTCACGTAAATATGAAAATAAGATTCTAATCCTTTCAAACTTGAAGTAATTTCTATGTTACAGATTTCATCAACACACCAGAGCCAATGGGTATGCCCGATCATCTGTTCTGAGGAGACTGTGATGTATACGAGTTAAAGGTAAAGATGCATAGTTGAGACATTTGTTTCACAAAATCACTATAATGATATTTTTCATATAAGCAAACTTTTAAAGTGTGTCATAAGTTCCATATAGTAACATATCAGTACAAATATTTTTGAATGCATGCATGGATGGGCATTAGAAATGCTTAAAATTGAAAGGTGACATTTTTAAACTCAATATGTGACTTTATCTTTACGTTACTTCCAAATACTTTAACCAGTAGGTATTTAATATTTTTATAATTTTAGATTAAAACCTTAGAAAATAATAATAATATCTGTCATATGTTGTGGTTTGGATCGGAATATCCGTCCCGAGGTGACCCGCCCATTGGGCGGTAACGAGGCTTGCCGAGTTACCGCACATGGGTGGGTTACCGAGGGACGGATATTCCAATCCGAACCGCAAACATATGTCAGATATTTTTTTCTTGCAAATTTTACGATATAACATTATATTTTGAATTCTTTATCTTAATTTTCAATGGGAATTTATGCCATTACAACCGAAACTATTTTCGTACAACAGCGTATGAAATTACAACTTCATTCATAACGGTAAAATTACGTCATCCTAAAACCCCAGTCACACTAGATGCGACCACCGGCGACTTGTAAAACTGACGATCATTAGCGATTGTCTGCGCCCAAAACCATTCACGTATAAATTTACTTCTGCGACTATCGTAAGACCAGTCATCATTGACAATCGCACGACAGGTCATAAGCAAACGTATGATGGTCTCAAGATTGTGTGGGATTACTTACGACTACCCGTGACCTGTCATGCGATCACCTACAACTAGTCGTACGACCATCACACGATTACTAAAGACTACTCAAGATTATCAGTGACTAGTGGCAATTTGTAAAGACTGTCGTAAGATTGTCGCACTTCTGAACGACCATCGTGCGACAGCCTAAGACCTTATAAGATCACTAGCGACCTGTTTGATCGCAAGGAGGTTTTTGTGCAAGCTCAAAAACCTCTCTACGACTGAAATTGGTCGTGGGACCTAAATAAGATAGCCTGCGACTGTCAAAGATCACCGATGACCGTCGTAAGACGTTTTAAAGATTGTCCGCGACCAGAGGTCACTGGTGATCGTGAACTGGTCTTCACTGGTCGTAAGCTCTAATGTGACTGGGGCTTAAGCGTGACATTGTACAGCACGCGACTCATCTGGCACCCCCTATGCCAGATGAAATTTCCGGCATGGGTAATACAAACGGAAACGCCAGTCTGATATGCAAGAAAAGTGTGTCATATCAGCAACTTTGATCAAATAAATACACCTAAAACATTTTAAGGAAAGCCTTTTAGGAAAAATACATCTTATAACAACACGTACTGTTCTGGGATAACTGAAACAATACGTAATCAGCTACCAATAACCAGAATACAAGAATACAAGGGATGATCCAGAAATACCCGTAATTTAAACAATAAATTCAATAATATTTATTCAAAGTTCATATAACAAACACTTTATTACTGCGTAATATATCCTCTTTACAAGGAAACAAGAATATGATAATTAAACACAGTATGCCTACCATATAAGCAAACATAGGATTTGTCACATTATGCAAAAAGGTTGATGTTCTTTTGTTCTTATACATAGGGAATCCTACCGATGCCATTCACTGTAAGTTAACTAACAACCTAAACCTATGACTATTGAACTGCTAATTGCTTTGATTGCTGGGATTCATACTCATGATCATCTTAAAGTTGAAGGCATAAAATATATGATTAATTTAATTTAATTAGATAAAAAGTGCATGTAAAAGAAAACAAATAAAGTATGAAAAACAGCATATAATCGTCAATTAGAATTCATTTTTTTAAATCGCATTGAAATTGTGCAAGGCCGCATATGACAGCATATTTGTATTTTTCAATCGCCACAGCGACGGAGAACGTTAACTTCACGCTTATTCTTTTATGCCGCAAAACGATATGTATTTATCTTTAAAATTACTCCAACAGTCTGGTAAAAAAACTTCTTTACCCCTGAAAAAGTTTTGTATGCATGACTAACAAAATACTTGTGTCGAATTTCTTTTATCATATTAGATGTTTCTATGGTAGGCTGTCTAAACAGTTGACAAATGTTTATGAAAGTGCCTTTTTCCGACGCCTTAATGAAGACGTTCTTGCATAAATAAACGTTGCAATTACAAATGATTACACAATAATAAAATGTTCAAACGACGTGAAATTTTAGCAGGCTGCTAGGGGGCGTGGACGGTAACTTGCACTTTCCAGTACCGTCCATGAACAGGCTCAATCAAAGCATGTAACATTTTCAATTTTGTTGTGTTGAACTTTCTTTAGGGATTCTGTTTTTCTTTATTTTACATTAACCTTCGGCAAATATTGGACCTGATCCCTTTTTGTGTCGGACACTTTGGTGTATTATAAATTTCAACGAACGTTATGTTCTTTGAGTTGCGCTGCTTTGGGGTATCCATGGTTATTTAAGGCGGCCTGAGACGATACTGGATGTTTTTAATCAATTATATTTGGCAAATAAATAGAAGAAACATCGATCTTTGCGCTTTTATAAATTTAATGAAGAAAACATAAAAAAGTTATCAGAATTATAAACAAATTTTGGGTAATTCTGGATCAACCTCCATATAATGTAAAAAACAGATTTTATAAGTCTTACAATATCAGTTATTGTTTTTCTTTTCAAGATGAACTCCTGTCGGATTTGTTAACGGCTGTTTGATGATCATACAAAGACAGTAAAAGGCAACGAAAAGGAATGCAAGGGAATAAATGCTGCCAGTGAGAAATAAAATGACAGTTTAAAAGTTGAATCGGAATAATATATTCACATTGAGTGTAGAAAGATGTACTGTAACCCACATAACACTAAAAGAGACACTAATACAGAAAAAGTAAACACTGATGCCACAATTAACACCACTGAGATCAATGACTGATAAGTTTTCATACAAAAAAAATGTTTATATTGTAGTCAATCTGTAATAAGTAAGGGTAAAACAAGGAAGTGTGATGTTTCGCCAGTAAGGACACTAGAACCTACTATTTTGAATATATGTATACAGAGGAATGACTGTTTGTCTGATACAGTGAGAGCAAGGATAGAACAGGTTCACGACTTGCTTGTAGCCGATGCTCTTTACCATGAAACATGTTTATGCTCCACTAATTTCAGAACTGGAAAAGATATACAGGGATAAAAAGTGAAAGATTGGTAGACCAGAAATTACAGAAGCGGTCGAGTGACGCTTTGTAAAAGTCATGACATTCTTGTGCTTATGCTTAGCGAAGATATTTTACAAATTAAAATTTGCAAATTTTTTTTTTTACATTTTATGCTCAAATGTATCAAATATTTGAAATTGACCTTCCAAAAGGTTAATGTCACCTCTTTTGACCCAATGTCATGATGTTATATAATGACTCAGAAAAAAATACAACAGATGTGCTTGAAAGTATTCTAGTTAATATAAAACTCAATATTATTATCATAGATAATATAAATTTCCTTAATGTTTCTTTATTTTGTATAAAATTACCCCACCCACTAGCTGTACAATGTTAATATAAATATTTCAATATATGCATTAAATATTTATGGAATGTAAATTAAATTCATAAAACGTTGAAACTTGACAGTTTTCACATGTACGTAAACCATTATCTATTTTCTGTTTAATATCATATAACATAGAGCTTTCAATAAATTGTTGATCTACAGCAATGTAAAAATATAATATTACCCCACCCACTTAAGTTAATTAATAAATTTTAGAAAGGTAAAAGTAGTTTCTTTAAATAAAAACAACTTTTTGATTACTTTATGTTACTAAAGGGATAGATTAAGCTATATTTTTATGCATATTATATATAAAACTGATTAGAAAATTGAATGTGTGTATTACATTGATTTCAAATTAAAAAAATATATACAATGATACCCATATATTTGATCTCAATTTTGAAAACATTCTCCAATTTAGATTTTTCTAGACTTTTGATATGTTATACAATATAGGTCTGGGGTTTCAAAACACTCAAAATATTTTCTGTTGCAATTTGTTTGAGGTTTGGCTCTATTTTGAGCTAGAATGACTGGACTACGTGTCATTTCTTGGCCTTGGGTAATGTCACTACCGATTTAAACACGCATCTTTTTTTCAAGTTAATGATCAAACAAGGATTCAACACAGTATCACAGTTACCTTGACCTTTGACCTCAAAATCAACTGGGATCATCTAATGGCCATGGGTAATGTCCCCATCAAGTTACATAAACCATGGCTTACCATCCCACTGACAATCATAAAGATGGATAACCCAATCACTTTTTAAAAGGGTGCATTAAACTTATGATGAAAATATTGGAACACTTTCAAATTGAAAATATAAAATAGATTTTTATTATTTATTATTTATTTATGTACTCTGAAAAAGGCTGTTCAGCCAAAACATTGCTATATTTAAGAGAATTTTAAGAATTTGCAGTTGACTGCTTATTATTCTCTATTTAGTCTTATACATTTGTAAGGACTGATGTTTATTCCTTTACATCGTTCTTTTCTAACTTATTTTTTTTTCATCTTAGAAATAAAATGTATTTTATATTTACCTTTTCCAGAACATAATCTTTCAGTTCCTTAAGATCTGCAACTTTTTGTACATTCCAAAGAAAGCTGGTCGTGTCGTTCTTCTTCATACGACAGGCAACCTAAAAATGAAAAAAAAATTTTGAAAATTCTGTAATTGAAACATAGCAAACCAGTGGATCATTGACCCTAAAGTTGCTCACCTGAGGACCTGTTGTACTTGCCATAACTAAATCTATTCAGCAGCAAAAAAAAAAAAAAAAATTATTTTATAAATCACGGTTTTGGGAGTTAGGAGTCTATTAGTTGTCATAGCTAGGGCTGTGTATTGTCAGGGTAGAGGCGATACGATACGATTCACGATACAGAGGAGCAATACGCAAACTAGTTTGTGATACTCCACTGAATTATTAAATAGTTTAAATGTTTCATGTCAAACTATCATCTTACATAAGACTTTATCATCCAGCCATTCAAATATATAGCAGAACTTATTTACAAGGGAAACTTTGGTATCATACTTCTTTAAAAGTGAACATTTAAGTAGTACTCAAAAAAATATTCCTAGAATACGAACAATTAGATTTTTATTTTAGTTTTATTTTAAATATATATATTAACATGTTGTACAAAAAGATCAGGTTAAATAGAACAGGTAAAAATGTCTCGCTGAACTCAAACAAGAACAGTTTTAAAATAATAACTAACTAGAAAATATCTAAAACATTACATTAAAGTTTAAGTTTTATGTCATCGTATCAATACATGTACTTTTTTAAATGCAGTTCAATAAGTAGAATTAAATATTCATTGTATTTATTAACGTAACCCTACAAATAAACTTTACAATTGATTAATTTTTCGGTAATTTCCTTGTGTTGAAGTTAATGAGAGCGAAACTTCTTGTTGCTAGCTTTAACATAGATGTTTATTTTCGGATATGTAACACTTTTTGGATACGCTATGAAAATACGCTGATTATTTTAAAAAGGTATGTTTTATAAGCTAAATAATATAGGATTGAAGGCAAAACATATATCAGAATTTCTCTTTTAGTTACGATAACAAAAAAATGTGAATCTGGCGATACAAAGGCATGCGAATATTCGAGTCCGAAATTCATGACAGATTCGTGATGTACCGACAGTTTAGACATTCGTTACAGCCCTAGTCATAGCAACAAAATTTTTCAACATAGGAAGAAAATAAAGGGATGTGCATAATCTCCAGACTGACATCTACCCATATTTCAAGTTTCATAAAAATATTTTCAATACTTTTATGATATCACAGCATCCAGTTTTGTGGACGGACAGATGGACAGAATTGAAAGCCAAGGTCATTTATGAAAGTCTCATCAACTTGAATGTCTATCCTCAAGGATTGTTGTGTCCAAGTATACAGACAATTCACTACTTAATAACTAAGCTTTATCCATTTTGGTACACATTTTTGTGATATTTTCTAAGTTAAAAATCAGGCACAAATATGTCAAACTTAACTGTCAGAAACTTTTTTTATTTTGCATTGATATGTCATGTTTGTCCAGGAATTAATAATTTCCATATACAAATAAAGTTTTACTGCCAATCATAGCCAAAAAAAAAATAGTGAAAATTTAATAATTTCACCTTTAATGTCAAGGTCATTTAAAAGTCAAGGTCAATGTTAGTTTGATTTTCATACAGACAGTTGTAATGTGGCATTGCTTTGATGTGCACAGTTTCAAGTTTCTCTACCAGTTCCCAAGATGGGACAGTTATCACGATAAATGTAAACAATAATTTACAAATGATTTTACGTAATAAAAGAGGTTACCTCTGCGATATCCCGCCAGTTCTCTTCTCTTAATTCTGTTGTCATTAGTGGCGTCAATAACCAGTACATACCATCATTGATATCTTCAACCAGTTCACAGGACCTAACTGCAAAAACAAGCAAAATATATGTAATTCATGCCAAATAAACACAAGATCTATTCATCTCTTTATGTAAGAACTACTTTTGAACCATATCTTTTCTAATTAACAGAAGGGTCTGTAACATGATATTATGTAGGACAATTTATCATATAAATTGCAAATTGGAGAGATCTCATGTTTAAAAAGAAAAGAGAAAACAACACCACATGCAGTATTAATGCTCATCTATTAAAAATTCTAAGTTATAAAGGTGTATTACTCCAAATATATTCAGAATTATGCCCCTTGTAAAAAAACTGCACCTTGCCATGGTAAGCAAGTAATCCAAGTTTAATGTTGATAACTTCAAAAATATTTTGAAAACTGGACTACATTAATGTTTTTGCACAGCAACAATTTCAACAACAACAATGCTGCAGCAATCATAATTGCTGGATTTGCAAGATTAAACTTAATGACTTTTTATCAAATACCCATGCCGCTTTTGCGACTCCGTAAAAATGGTATTCCCTGGATGTGCAAAATTTTTGTTATACAAACACAGCATAAAGACATGCTTAATGAATAGCATTACACTACAGATATGTCAATGAAAACTTATTCTTTTTTTTTCTTTTTTTGCATTAAACAGTCTTCATTTTGGGTATGTGAAGCATAGAATATTACATTCGTATACATTTATTACTAAATTAACTGAACTCGTTCAATAAAATAATATTAAGCTTGCCAGAGGCTCTGATAGTACATTTTTTTATTCAACTCATTCAATAAATGCAGTATTGAAATTGCACTCATTCAATATCCTCTATTTACTATAAGTATAATAATTTACCTAAACTATCTTATCAGGACATGATACAACGCAAAACAGGTATTTCTAAATCTATTTAAAATCTGCTTATCAAATTAAGAGATGTCATTTAAAGTTGAATGCGTTGAATAATTAGCTCTAGAGACAATTTTTGAATGGCGTACAAATTTAACAGATTACACACATCATATAAGAAAAACAGTTTGAAACTACCAAAAACATAACTGAAATTCTAAATCAAAAATGAGGCAAAACTTGAGTCAATGTATTTCTGGGTGTGTAAAAATCTATTTTAAACATCATTGACCTTTAACGTGGTTCAAGTGACTCATAGGTACAACTTAAAATACAGGATACCAATACAAGGTATGTGGCTACAAAATATGAAATGTTTTAGCAAATAAATGAAGGCTATATGAGCAGAAAATGTAAATATATAAGTTAAGAATCAGTGACCTTGACCCTACTGACCTCTAACTCTACCCAAAAATAATAAAACTACCTTTGACATATAAAAAGAACATCATTCATTAAAGGTTGTATGAGCTAAAGTGTAAAAATCAGTTGTTGGCAATTGAAATAAGAACATAAAAGTTACCATATTCGGCCGATTCTTTCCAGTTGATACCCCTTTTCTTCATATAAATCATTAATGCATTTATTTGTCCTTCATTAAAATTTGAAGAGTTCTGTAAAGAAAAGGAAAACATACTAAACTTTAAATACCCAAGGCCATACTATCCAGAATTTTTCTTTTATTCTTAATGATATTTAAAGTAACACATCCTTGGAAAAGACTTTTAAGAGACTTCCTAGATATATCACTTGGATACTTCCATCACCTAATGGAATGAAATCCAAAGTTCTGTTTTAATGTCTGTCAATTTCTAAAAAGTATTTTGTATTTATCTTAGTCAGTTTTATTGGTGTTTTTACTTAAGATTTGCACTAAAACTGCTTTCTTCACTAGCATTATACATCAAATTGATCCTGTCTATGATTTTCAGGCTGAACTCTGTTGTGATGTTTTGAAGTTGCTTCTATTGATGTCATGTGACGCTGACATCATTTCCTGTTTATCATTTATTTTTCTAAGACAACCTGCATTTTTCCCTATTGAACATAGAAGGACTGAAAGTGTGTGTTATTATGCAATAAAATCATTGTTGACATTCTATATCTAGACATGTGACATAACCATTAAACATGTGATGTAACCACTAACAAGAGCTGTCACAGGAGACAGCGAAGCTCGACTAATTAAATACTTGGCGCAGTTAAAAAGACAAAACAATTATTATGTAAATATATTTCTTCTTATGACAAGAATTTATAGTTGTTAAAAAAAAATCCAAGTTCAAGGTGGAAAAATTCTGGAAAAAGTCACACTAGAGTTATGGACCTTGTCACACAACATGTGTGTAATGATAAGAAATATACATTTGAAGAAGATACCTTAAAATAAAGAAGTTATAATATTTCTTCAACAAAATTACAAGTTCAAAAGGAGATAAATATGAAAATATTGTTTCAAGAGTTATGAACCTTGTCACATAAGATCTGGTTGATGATAAAGAATATGTATTTGAAGTTTGAGGTAGATACTTACTAAAAACTTAATAAATCTTCTTATAAAAACCTCAAAGAGCTAGAGCTTAGATATTTATCATGAAACATCTTCTAATGTGTGTCTACCAAGTTTGTTCAAATAAAAGCCCCTGGTTTAAAATTGGCCATGGCCCAGGGGCTTATATACAGGTGAGCCATTTCAGGGCCATGATGGACCTCTTGTTGTTAGATCAAATAAGGAAAATCAATGCCTCTTTGGGGCGGGGCCAATTTTAACCCAAGGGAATTTATTTGATCAAACTTTGTAGACACTTACTAGATGATGTTTCATGCTAAATATTTAAGCTCTAGCTCTTTCTGTTTTCTAAAAGAATATATTTTAAGTTTTTTCTTCCGGTTGCAATGGCAACCGGAGCTCTGATTGGAATTAAATTCTTTGAACAATCTTTAAAGTTGACTACCAAAGCAACATTCCTGTGAAGTTTGGATGAAATTGACTGAGCTGTTTATGAGGAGATGTCGTTAAAAGTAAACAAGATTGCATTTGAGAAAAATGCTATGCCACCGCATGGTTCAAATTTCAAAGCTGTACACCAAAGGACAAGAAAGTAGGTCACATCATCAAAATCTAGGTCACCTGATATCAAAATTCAATTTTACAACTAAAACTGTGCACATGGTCAAAATGTAATTGCTGTACATCAAAGGACAAGAAAGTAGGTCACTGTCCCCTTGGGCAAGGCATAATTTTGACCCAAGGGTTTAATTCAAAAAAAATTTGATACAGGTCCACCTAACAACATTTCAAGTCAAATATCTAAGCTATAGCTTTCTCCCATTCAGAAAACATTTGTTTTATTTTCTGTTTTTACTATGTGTACATAATGAGAATCACTGCCCCCGGGCAGGGCCAATTTTGACACCAGGGGAAAATTTTGAACAACTTTGGTAGAGGACCTATAAATGATATTATATCTCAAACATCAAAGCTCTATGCCTTGTACCTTCAGACAAAACTATTTTTTTATTTTTTTCACTATATGTACATAATGAAAATCAATGACCCCCGGGGCGGAACCAATTTTGACCCCAGGGCTATAATTTAAACAATCTTGCCAGAGGTTCACTACACAATGTTTCATGCAAAATATCTTAAGTCTAGCCTTTGTAAATTTAGAGAAGATGATTTTTTAAGTTTGTACTATATACATATAAGGAAAACCTATGGCCACCAGGGGGCGGGCTAATTTTGACACAAGAGGCAAAATTTGAATAACTTTTTGTAGAGTACCTTCAGATGATATAATTTAACAAATATTAAAGCTCTAAGCCTTGTACCTTCAGACAATAAGATTTATTTATTTTTTACTATATGTATATATTGAAATCAATGACCCCAAGGGCAGGGGCAATTTTGACCCCAGGGCTATAATTTGAACAATCTTGCTAGAGGTTTACTACACAATGTTTCATGCAAAATATCTAACCTCTAGCATTTGTCAATTGCTAGAAGAATTTTTTTTGAAGTTTTTACTATATACATATAAGGAAAACCAATGACCCCCGGGGCGGGGCCGATTTTGACCCCAGGGCTATAATTTGAACAATCTGGGTAGAGGTCTACCAGACAATGCCCTACGCAAAATATATAAGCTCTAGGCCTTTACAAGGTGTTTTAAATTTTTACTATATGTACATATAGTGAAAATTAATGACCCCGGGGCGGGGCCGATTTTGACCCAAGGGCTATAATTTGAACAATCTTGGTAAGGGTCTACCAGAAGATGCCTTATGCAAAATATCTAAGCTCTAGGCCTTTTGGGTTTTTACAAGAAGGTATTTTAAGTTTTTACTATATGTACATAGTGAAAATCAATGACCCTCGGGGCGGGGCCAATTTTGACCCCAGGGCTATAATTTGAACAATCTTGTTAGAGGTCTACCAGACAATGCCTTATGCAAAATATCTAAGCTCTAGGCCTTTTGGGTCTTTACAAGAAGATTTTTTAAATTTATTCTTATAATTCCTTTTGGTTGCCATGGCAACCAGATTTCTGCATGGAATGAAATTCTTTGAACAACTTTGGAAGCCCTTCACCCAAGGAACAATCCTGCCAAGTTTGGTTGAAATTGGACTAGTGGTTTTTCACAAGAAGATTTTTTAAACTCACTATATAATGTATATAACACACACACAAACACACACACAAACACACGCACACACACACAGGTGAATCGCTATATGCCACCGCATCGCAGATGCTGCGGTGGCATAAAAATTACAGAAGAACAGATGTACGCAGGACGGAAGCCGGAAGAAAAGCGATCACAAAAGCTCACCATGTTACTTTGTGACAGGTGAGCTAAAAATGATAAGAGCAAAAAGCAAATACTTCATAGCATAATTGTGAAATATCACAAGCTTCATGCAAAATATTAATTTACTGTAGACCACATGGTGAAAATGGTTTCTGAGTTGTTTTTTCTATTAAAACCTTGGCATCTTATGCATCTTTAAAAAAAAAAGCACAATAATAATAATAATACCTTTAGAAGCCTTCCAATGTCATCTATGTTTCTTCCAAACTGTCTTAAATTTGGTTCTAGCCAATTTATAACAGATGTATAATCATTGTTCTGCACAAACGGCACTAATTCCTCTATTCCTAGAAATACAACAAGAAACATAGCAATACCATCAACAAAAGATATAGCAAATGGGGGCTTTGCTTAGCTTTTAATGCTATACTTGCTGAAAGTCATTCAAAAATCAAGGTTATATTTTAATTGTTAAAATATGACAATTTAGACCCAAATTTTGTTTTGTCTCAGATCAAACCAGATCCATCAATAAACAACATGATTACTTCAAATGTGATTATTTTTTTTAAGAACATGACATTGATAGTCAATGTTATTAAGCATTCAAGATCACTGTTTTAAGATGATGCTGTTCAATATTTTGTGTCAACAAGAACAAGATATGCCCATGGGCAAAATGACGAGCTCACTCATCTTAATTCAAACCTAAACATGTAAGTTTCAGATCAAGGAGAAAGACGTTTACACAACACATTCTCTTTATAACCAATAAGGTACCCACTATGCCCTCCAATTCGCCATTCTTGTAATAAGGATTTTCAAAATTGAAAACATTTGGTAGCATGTAAAAAAATATAATAAAAGAATATCTTAGGGGATTATTGTTAACTGGGCCTGCACATTTGTAAAATGTTTTTCAATGTGCATCAGTCAATAAATCAAGGTAGGAAGAACAAGTGTTAAAATCTATTGAAGCACGAAGCAAAAAAAGAAAATGAGCCGCCTCACGACAAAACCAACGTAATGCATTTGCGACCAGCATGGATCCAGACCAGCCTGCGCAGCTGCACAGTCTGATCAGCATCCATGCTGTTCGCTTACCAACTCTATTACAAGTAGAGAAACTGACAGCGAACAGCATGGATCCTGATCAGACTGCGCGGATGCGCAGGCTGGTCTGAATCCATGCGGGTCGCAAAGCCATTATGTTGGTTTTGTCATGACGCAGCTCAAATAACACTTACCTTTTGGGTTCTTCATTATACAGTGATATCTGACCAGTGGCAAAATGAATTCTGAGCGCATAGATCTCTGTAATATATAAGCATTATACATGTAGACACAGTATACAAGAACTGTTCCGAATAGGTCACCTAGGCAATGTCCTGGTAAAATTTAATGACAACGATAACTTAATTCAGTTTCTTATGTTAATCATAACTATAAAGTATTAAAGAAGTTAAGTTCCCTATAGAAATTACTCTTTTTGCATCACAAGCAACCAAGGATGCCTTACTTTGTAAGTATTAAACAAATTTCATACCTTTTGAATTATCCTTAACTAGATAGTATCCATAAGTAAGGAGATTATTCTTGATTTATAGGTGCAAATTGTATGAGAAAAGCAGCAGATGGAAGTTATTTCAACAATTATAAAAGAATACTTACCTCAGCTACTACATGAGGAAGAATTGCAATTGCTGATTCTGAAAATGAATACAAGTAAACATGAACCTACAAACTAGTTATTGTATAAAACAATACATATCCGTGGAAATATATAATATATATATTACTGAATTTCATTTAAAAATATGATTTGTTACTATCCTTATATTAATGTCCTCTCATGAACAGGTATATACAGGCAAAAATGATGAAAATTCTGCTTACATACAAACTTCAGTTCAGCTGTGCTCAAGGTCAATCAGGTAATCTACAAATCATGACTAACCTTCACACCAAATCTTAAGACTCTAGATCTAAGTGCTCTTTACTTATTGATAGGACAAGCTTTTTTTTGTCATGGACACAGTGGTGTTCGAGCATCAGACCTCATGAGGATCATTCAAGATCATCTACTTGTCATTAACAACCACCCAACCAAATATTAGAACTGCAGACCCATGTTTTCTAGGAGAAAATTTTTGTGGTCAAGGCCAGGATGACCTAGGCTTCTGATCGTCTGACCTCAAAATCTATAGGGGTCATAAATTGGTCATTATAAACCTCCATACAACAAATCATAGGACTGTAGGTCAAAGCAGTCTCTAGTAATTGCTCGGACAAGCTTTTGGCAGTCGATACCTAGTTACTCTACATGTTATTTACTTTTGTCAGCTCTTAAGTTATTTGATGTAACAAGCAATTTATAGTCCAGGGCAGCGTTTTACTAACATTGCGTAAGTTTTTCGTAAGTATTTTCGTAACTTTACGCTTACGTTTAAACTTACGTAAATCGTAAGTGTGTTTCACAAAACGTTCGTAAGTTTTTTCTTAAACTTACGTTAAAACAGTGCGTAACTCTTCAAAGAAGGTTTACAGAATTAGTCAATAAGGAGGCGTTTTAGTAATATTTATAATGACCGCAAACATTTTTGAAAAAGGCTGAACTGGTATTTCGTAGTCATCTACGGACACTTGTAACTACAGACACTCATAAATGTTGCTGAGCAATTCTTATTTTGAAGTTCATATTGTGCCACACACAGGGGTTTCTCCCGATTTTAAATTAATGCATTTATAGAGTAGAAAGGAAAACCCCATATGATCCATCATGGAAGATATTGAAAGGGTTTTTGTTTGTTCTGAGAAGTGAAAAAACTGTAATGTCCGCAAGTAAAAATGTGGATTTTTTAAAATATTTTTATATTAAATATTTAGCTTATTCACATAACCCACATTTATAAAAATATATTTTTGTTTCTATTTATTTATTTATTTATTCTATGTCTATAAAGTAAAGAAAACCCTTTGATTTTTTAAGATTTTACGCTAAAACATGCGTAAAAAAGATGACACAAAAACGCTACATGCAAACAAAAGATATTCTCGATTTTTTCTTATGGAAGTAATGCTATCTGAATATTTGCAAATAAAAAACAACTGCAACAGATATTTTTATGTACATTTGCGAATCATACTATTTAATGAACATATATATAGAGGGTATTCAAGTTTTAACTATAAATTCAGGATTTATTTTCATCGATTTGTATGAAAATAAATATTTCATGGGCGACGATATCTACGAGTGATATATGCTATTTTCATACCAAAAGATGAAAATAAATCCTGTATTTATATTAAAAACATGAATTTTCTGTTTATTATATACATTTTTTACATTTAAAAAGACTTTCCCTAACAGTTTGTATTTTGGCTGAATTAAACCCAGCAAGACACCTGTGAAAATATGGAAAATATGTTTCACTGCAGTGAAAATACGAAAATATGCTTCACAGCAGTGAACATACGGAAAATGAAAATCATCAACATTTCTCAATACATGTATTTCATTTAAAAGTCTATAATGAAAGACTTTACTGAGTTTCAGTCAATATTATATGTCATTTATAAAATTCTCAATACATTTTGATGTAAATCAGCATCAAAAGCTCGTGAAAGTAAAATAATATAAAACACTTAATAATTGATTTATAATAAAATGTACTTGGGGTCGAGGTCAACGACGATTAAGGGCGGTATGGAATAAAAGTATATTTTTGGAGAAGAAGATAAAAGACTTTAAGCTGATAGGACGATTTCCATATTCGTATATGTTTTTTGCTTAATATAATTAAAGTCCGTAAAGCTACATTAGCCTTTCCTTACTTAGACTTTACTTTTCTAGAGCCGCGTTCACCATTAAAATATATTACCAATCACATCCGTCTCTAAAATTCTCGCTTTCCTGCTCTACAATTATTCATAGATGATGTCAGTCTTACTTACGTAAGTTTTAAGTCAACAAATTTTAAGCGTAACTTTACGTAAAAACTTACGAAATTCTTACCTACGCAAATTTTTAGTAAAACGCTTTTACGTAAAAAATCAGACGTAAGTTATAACTTACGAATATCTTAGGCGTAAGTACGTTAGTAAAACGCTGCCCAGGCCCCCATGACCTTAGTCTTTGACCAAGTGACCTCAAAAATCAATATAGGCCAATGGGTTTTCTTACTGGTTGAACAAGATGTCCGACAAGGTGTGGTACGGGCTGCTGTGCAAAGAAATATACCCTTCTTCTTCAGACGGGCATAAAAATCACCTTAAGAAGAACTTCCTGCTAGTGAGTTACCTATCTTCAATAAGACACCCATCTATTTAATTCCTTACCCTCCTTTACAAATCCTTGGAGAGAAAACAACCATCTCATAGTTAGTTTAATATCAGTCTGACAACTAGCACCTTGTTTACTATTATTTCCATCCATTACATTTATACAAAAAATGTGATTTACATTACCACAATCCCTATCAACATCTTAAGTAAATCATCTTATAGCTAGTGTAATATTACCCTAACCCTTCTCATCAACTTTTGTTTTGAAATATTACAAAAAATACTACTTACCATATTGAAATTTCTCGATAGCAGTGGTGAAGTAATAAGAGAAAGATGCTTCCTTCAAACCAAGTCTTTTCATCATTTCTATATATTTGACTACATCTGCTGTTCCCTATTGGAGAAAAGAACATTTGTGCCGTGTCATGACAAAACCAACATAGTGCGTTTGCGACCAGCATGGATCCAGACCAGCATGGATCCAGACCAGCATGCGCATCCCTGCAGTCTGATCGGGATCCATGCTGTTCGCTATCAGTTTCTCTACTTGTTATAGGGTTTGTAAGCAAACAGCATCGATCCTGATCAGACTGGTCGCAAACTCATTATGTTGGTTTTGTCGTGACACAGCTCATTTTACAGATAAGAATTAAGAATAAAACACTACAGGTAACACAAAGACTGGGCAAATTTTAACATAAAGTATATCAATAAACAAAGTTTCAATTTTTTTTATTTTGAAGGCCCATTTTGTCCAAGAAACTCTTCTTATCCTTTTTTTCTCAAAAGCTTTTTGAAAGTGGCATTATGCCCATCAAAGACTAAGTGTTAAGAGTGGAGATTAAAGTCCAAATTAGCTTAAATTCAGTCACATTTGTTTCTAATTTCATATTCTACTTTTAGCGAATATTCAATAGCTCAAATGGTACACAGAAATTTCAGTAAATATCCTTCAGAATGTATCGACTACACGCAGTTTATAAATAGTGTGGGGCAATCTCTAGGTTTTGTGGCAGTTTTCATATTTAACCCTTAACATTTCTGATTATCAATTTTTGGTCAATCTCCATTAAAATAGTCATCTTTTAAAATATATATTTAATTCAACTCACATTAACAAAGAGAGAAGAGAAGATAAATTGAACATGTCACTTCAATTTTGGTGTCCTTTTAAAATTTCAAAAAGATACTGAATTTTAAAGATTTCTGTCCATTGTCATGGCAAGCAAGTTTTTGATAGAATGTAATTGATGAATTTTAATAACAATAAATATAAGGAACATCAAATTTCTACAAATTTTGCTGAACAATTTCATAGAGTATGTCATCTGATATATATGATGAAAATGAAAACTGAAGACAAGAATCCTAAAAAGTTTCAACTTTATAACACAATAACTTACCAATTGTACATTAAGTGCTGCCTTGATCAGATCTCTACATGTACCGGGTACTTTGGAAAAATAGTTGAATGCCAAGTCATGATGACCTGCGAACAATATAACATATGTTCAATATAACATTTTTTCTAATTACAAAAATTCAAACCTTTTATCACTCAAGCTATTTATCTAGTATATAACTTAACATCATTATTACAAAACTTAACTCTAATCTTAAGCTATGATTTTCTTATTTCAAGGATTTTATACATCTTTATTGACATAGCCTTATTGCCAACATAACTGGGAACTTAATAAGAATCATATGAGCCGTGTCACGACAAAACCAACATAATGGGTTTGCGACCAGCATGGATCCAGACCAGCCTGCGCATCCGCGCAGTCTGATCAGGATCCATGCTGTTCGCTATCAGTTTCACTACTTGTAGGGTTGGTAAGCTAACAGCATGGATCCTGATCAGACTGCACGGATGCGCAGGCTGGTCTGGATCCATGCTGGTCCCAAACCCACTATGTTGGTTTTGTCGTGACGCGGCTCAATTATGCTGTCATAACAATCATCCCATCCAAATTTATTCATACAAACAAGAGAGTGAAGATGTACCTGCCACACTCACTTGAAAAATATGATCGACAGAATGACAAAGAGTTCTCTACTAGGAGCCAGGTAAAATTTCTTTGATCAATCAGAAGTATGGTTTATGCAAAATTAGAAAAAGGTATGATATGACCATGCGTCAGAAGACAACTTGGCAAACCAAGAGGTATGGGAACATCTGACTACAAAATTACGGTTTTTGAGTTTGAATCAGAGCAACAGATAAGGTGCGTATTTGCGTATTTACGCAATTAATTTGATAAAATACGCAATAGATTTTTTAAGAATGCGTATCAAAACCCATTAAAAAAAATAAAATACGCAATTGTCTTAAAAACCTGTGCGTATTGTCATTTTCATCACCGCAAAATTAATCTTGCGTACACTCGTAGTTTTGGACAAATTATATCGATATGTATGATATCTGAATATTCCCGAATCAATGCTAACTAATCAACGGTCTCCGGTCTTCGACGGTACCCGGTCTCCAACGGCAGACTAAGCATGAGACCGTCGATTTGTCTACTCAAGTTGACGGTCTTTACAGACCGGCAGAGACCGTTGATTTTGCGGAGACCGTCAATAAGTAGGTGCCAGCTGTATCAATAGACGCTTTGAAAAGCAATATGGCGTCGTACAAAAGGGAAAATGATTTGAAACAAAACAGTTGCAATCAGTCAGAAAACGAACTTGTTAAAAATATTATGAAATATAATATGAGCATTTTATATAAAAAATAAAACAATTGTGAAAAGTTCTAGTAAATTGTTAACCCTATTTTCTTTTTAAAACAGTTAAGATATGATCATATCTAAACTTAATTTTATTGATATTGAAACCATAAAATTCATATCTTCATAATTGAATACCCAATTGATCTTGAAATCATAGGGTATCGAGTTTTGGAATACCCAATTAAATGGAGCCAATACCCAATTCCAAAGGAAATGATGGAGTAATACCCAATTCACTTTTAAAGCTTATCTGTTGCTCTGTTGAATCCTTGCTATTCTAGACTGAAATTACCAATAATTTTCAACTGGAAACACAAGTGATCAGCCTTTGCCATCAGTAGTAGCCAGGCTAGCCTTACAATTCCATGCAGTCTGACAAGGCTCTGTGCTGTTAGCAACTTCATATGTGTATTTTGAAATTGAAATCCTTTAAACATAGAATGGACCGTTCCAAATGCAAAGCACAGAAGTTCATTACACAATTTCAGCAGGTTAAGCTTTAAGAGAGGTCCAGTATGGGTACTGAAACAACTTGCTAAAAGACCAGTAATTATATAGACTCAATAACATCAGGCTTGACAATAACCATAATTATGAGCCGTGCCATGACAAAACCAACATAATGGGTTTGCGACCAGCATGGATCCAGACCAACCTGCGCATCCGTGCAGTCTGATCAGGATCCATGCTGTTCGCTATCAGTTTCTCTACTTGTAATAGAGTTGGTAAGCGAACAGCATGGATCCTGATCAGACTGCGCAGATGCGCAGGCTGGTCTGGATCCATTCTGGTCGCAAAACCATTATGTTGGTTTTGATGTGACGCGGCTCATATATTGTCACCTTAGTGCAGTTACAAGTTAAGACCTTCTGAATTTAATAGGAGTTGACAAGTTATAACACTAAGGTATATTCACATATCAAATTTCATCTAGCTATCATTAAACATTTCTTAGGTTATTTCTAGATCCAGATTTCTGATTAGTCAGCTTGATGGCTGTCAGGCACACAGTAGCCTTATAGTCCCCTCCAGTTTAAAACAATACAAGACTTGTAAGCTTAATCATATTTTAACCCTTTTGCTGCCAGAGGGTTATTGTTTTATTGATCACCTATTTGCCAGACGGTTTTCTAAGAAATTACTACATTATCAATTAATATAAATATTATTTGTTATTAGTATAATAATGATTATATATGTTTCCAAATCTGTGAGTATAATATTAATTATTGTCGATGGTATAATTTTCTTTAAATTTTTATTATTATTATTATTATTAATTTATTATTATTACTATTATTATTATAGAAATGGCTAAGCCGTCCATTATATGGCAAATACGCCGAAAATAACAGGGACGGCATAAGCCGCCCCTATGGCAGTGAAAGGGTTAAATGGTATTGAAGCACCTAACTTAATTTTTCTATAAGCTACAATGTCTTTCCTTGAAAATTACAAATACAAATAAACTAAAACAAATAGTATAATACTCATTTCTATTACTAACTAAAAGAGTAAACATAAAATGAGCCGCGTCCCGACAAAACCAACATAATGGGTTTGCGACCAGCATGGATCCATTCGCGCAGTCTGATCAGGATCCATGCTGTTCGCTATCTGTTTCTTTACTTGTTATAGGGTCTGTAAGCGAACAGCATGGATCCCGATCAGACTGCGAGGATGCGCAGGCTGGTCTGGATCCATGCTGGTCGCAAACCCATTATGTTGGTTTTGTCGTGACGCGGCTCATTAATGATCAAGATGAGAAAATTACCCTTAATGTCACTTACTTTAATTTTAATCAACATTCAATTCTAAAACACTCAAAGTAAATAAAAAACTTTTGAAATGTTCTTATTGTTACCTATTCGTATTTATCTGTAACATTTCAAGGGTAATTTTTTACTTCTTTTTTTTTTCTCTATTTTTTAACATCAATGACAATGTTAACATACTTGAAGGACATTAACAGTTGTTTTATCATGCCGGCATTCCAGGGCTTTTTTTCACAGGTTGGGGAAGCAGCCCTGCCCTTAATTTTAGGGAAAAATTACACGATATATTTGCAAAGGGGAAGGAAAAACTTGATGTAAATTCAATTTTTTGGGAAAACTGCATGATTTTAGAGAATTTTTCTTTGGGGAAGAAGCCCTATACTGGCTCCTGCTATAGAAGGAAAAAAAAGCCCTACATTCAAATGTTATAATAGTAACTGTAATTACCACTCTCCATAAGTAACTTTATTGTTTTTACTATGGTATGTTCCCACTTTCCAGACTCTGGTATTTCTGATGTAAACTGAAATAGAGAGCATATTTATTGAATTAATAACTTTTACGAGAACAATCAAGTTTTATCAAAATCTGTCCAAAATTTAAGATATGTCAGTAAAAAAAAAAATCTATATATAGTTCTAGGGGCCATCTTGTTCAGCAGAAAAGAACAATTTTAATTATTTTTGTAATTGACCCAAAAAGGATTATTGCCCTATTGTTTTTCATATGGACAAGTGATTAAGATGTCATATAGAAGTATTTGCATTTTAAAGTTTGTACCATCTCAATCCATTTAAACAGTGTATAAAAACACTAGAACTATTTTTTCACAGTACCATCAAGGACTATTCTTATAAAGGATCATTCCTATAAAGGATCATATTCTTATATAGGATAATTCCTATCAAGATTCATATTCCTATAAAGGATCATTCCTATAATGGATCATTCCAATAAAGGATATTTTCTTTAAAGGATCATTCCTATAAAGGATCATTTTCTTATATAGGATCATTCCAATAAAGGATCATTTTTCTTATAAAGGATCATTCCTATAATGGATCATTCCAATAAAGGATCATTTTCTTATATAGGATCATTCCTATAAAGGATCATTTTCTTAAATAGGATCATTCCAATAAAGGATCATTTTCTTATAATGGATCATTCCAATAAAGGATCATTTTCTTATATAGGATCATTCCTATAAAGGATCATATCATTCCTATAAAGGATCATATCATTCCTATAAAGGTCCATATTCTTATATAGGATCATTCCTATAAAGGAGCATTCCTAAAAAGAATCATTCCAATTAAAATCTGTGGTGCAGATCAGAAGAAAATGTGTTTATTCTTGGCTTTGGAGACACTTTCTTGTCCAAACAGAAAAAGCAATTTCAACTTACAAGGACAGCTCTTCCCAAATTTCCTTAAAATCTATCCAGCTATTAAAGGGTTATAAACTAAATAAAATTAATATCATTAAAATCTACCCAAGTGATTAACATGTGATTTGAAGATTTTTTTACTTTAAGCACTTGCAAGTTATCTTGTTCAGTCTTTACCCATTTCCCATTTGGTAAAATATTGAGGCTAAAAATTTGAAATACCCAATCTTGTGAAGTTTTAAATAGCTATAAATTCTTACATAATCAATGATTTCTTGGTGCCTTGGTTTGCCTATATCTTGTACCAAAGCTTGTAGAACTGTACCTGTTAAATTGGGCAGAAGGACCATGTCGGTTTTTGCTCTATCCAGCATCTGAATAATACAAATACAAACTTTTTACTTACTCCATCAAACTTTTTAAGTTTGTAACTAAAACATAATTACAAAGGTTAGTATTCTTAAATATATATTTAAACAAAAATACTGAAACATAAATACAAAGTTCAGTATTACTGAATATATACACAGATACAAAAACAAAGTATAAGAAGGTCTGAGGGCCCAAGATCACTAACATGAACCTAAGCCAAAATATCATGGTTACTGACATTAGATGTCAAGTTTATTTCTTTTTTACACTCGTTCACTGAATAAATATCCTTTTTAGCTTGTTAGTATATCACCACCAAATGATCATCAAACTTCCTCAAAACTGTCAGACTGACAATTCAAAAAGTCTGACAATATTAAGAGACAATAAAATCAATGAGAAGTTTTGTTTGTTTGTTTGATTGGGTTTGACATCACACCGACACAGTATAGTAATATTGCAATGTTCTAGCTTTACTGGTGGATGAAGAACTCAGGTGCCCTTCCGTGCATTATTTCAGGCATAAACGGGCCCCCCGAGTAGAACCACTGACATTCCGTAAGCTAGCTGGACAGCTTCCTCACCTGAAAGAATCAAAATTCCATGTCTGGAAATCGAACCCACAGTGGTAAGGGGCAAGTGGTTTGAAGTCAACATCCTTAAGCACTAAATGAGAAGTGTAACTTTGATAAACAAATACTGTTTACCAGAGATTGAGTTGATTTGTACAATGTTTTATGTTAAAGGAAATGTTGCTTTATTAACCTTGAATTGTTATGTCAGTCTGACAGAATTTTTGTCGGTCGAACCAAAATCCCGGGCCCATTGGACCGTCTGTCTCGCATTCTTTTCAAAATTTCAGGAAGTCTGTGATCATTCATAAAAAGCTATGAAAGTGATACAGTCACATTACAATAAAATCTGACATCAACAAAAAAACTTGAAAAGCCATAATTAAAATTTATATTAAATGACACCTATGGTGAATGCTTACTACTCTAATATTCTTAATATTAAAAGCTGTTTATGTACTGCAGCTAAAATGTGATTCTTTTCAAGGATACTACAAACCTGAATAGCTTGAACTTTAAGAATATTTAATTGTTTATATTATGTTTACATTTTCTCTGTAACATTACCCATTAGCAATGGATAGAAAGCCAAATTTCAATTCCAACCCCCAATTGCAACAAGAGGGCCATGATGGCCCTGAGGTCGCTCACCTGTATATAGGCCCCCCACCCCCGGGCCAATTTTTACCCAAGGGCTTTTATTTGTTTATTTGAACAGACTTGGTAGACACCCATAAGAAGATGTTTCATGCTAAACATCTAAGTTCTAGCTCATTGGCATTTTTAAAAGAAGATTTTTAAAGTTTTTACTATACACATATAGTTAAAAACAATGTCACCCCTGGGGCAGGGCCAGTTTTGACCCCCGGGCGTTTATTTTAACAAACTTTGTAGATATTAACTTAACTTAAAGATGTTTCATGCTTAATATCTAAACTCTAGCTATTTGGGTTTTTCCAAAGAAGATTTTTAAGTTTTTGCTATACACATATAAGGAAAATCAATGACCCCCCCCCCCCCGGGCGGGGCCAATTTTGACCCCAGGGCTTTTATTTGAACAAACTTGGTAGACACTCATTAGAAGATGTTTCATGCTAAATATCTTAGCTCTAGCTCTTTGGGTTCTTTAAAAGAAGATTTTTTTAAGTTTTTACTATATGCATATAGGGAAAATCTATGACCCCCTGGGGCAGGGTCAATTTTGACCCAAGGGCTTTTATTTGAACAAACTTGGTAGACATTCACTAGAAGATGTTTCATGCCAAATATCTAAGCTCTAGTTCTTATGGTTCTTTAAAAGAAGATTTTTAAGTTTTTACTATATGCATATAGGGAAAATCAATGACCCCCTGGGGCGGGGCCAATTTTGACCCCAGGGCTTTTATTTGAACAAACTTGGTAGACATTCACTAGAAGATGTTTCATGCTTAATATCTAAGCTCTAGCTCTTACGGTTCTTTAAAAGAAGATTTTTTAAGTTTTTACTATATGCATATAGGGAAAATCAATGACCCCCCTGGGCGGGGCCAATTTTGACCCCAGGGCTTTTATTTGAACAAACTTGGTAGACACTCACTAGAAGATGTTTCATGCCAAATATCTTAGCTCTAGCTCTTTGGGTTCTTTAAAAGAAGATTTTTTAAGGTTTTACCATATGCATATAGGGAAAATCAATAACCCCCTGGGGCGGGGCCAATTTTGACCCCAGGGCTTTTATTTGAACAAACTTGGTAGACACTCACTAGAAGATGTTTCATACCAAATATCTAAGCTATAGCTCTTATGGTTGTTTAAAGGAAGATATTTAAAGATTTTTCTTTCGGTTGCCATGGCAACCAGAGTTCTGCATGGAATTAAATTCTTTGAACAATTTTTAAAGGTGACCACCAAAGGAACATTCCTGTGAAGTTCGGATGAAATTGGCTTAGTGGTTTATGAGGAGATGTCATTTAAAGTAAAAGTTTACGGACAGACGCCGGACGGACGCCGGACGAAAAGCGATCACAAAAGCTCACCCTGTCACTTTGTGACAGGTGAGCTAAAAAGAGCTTCAATTTGTTTTTAAACCGAAACAAAATTGTACATATAAATATTTACGGTACCTCCTTCACTCCATCTAAATCTCCAAGCATGGCATATCCTGTGATCACAGTTTCATACATTTTTGAGTCTTGTGCAAATCCCAAATCTCTGCAAAGTAAATATTATCATCAACGGCCATTCTATCTATGCACATGCAGTTGTAAAGGGATTCCACTGTGATTTTTTGACATCATGTGACTGAATTTTTCTTTTTTAATTTGTTCCATTTGATGTAGGTCTATACCAATTACTTAGTGCAAAAATTCATATAATTTGCTCACTCAAGAATAGTTTATATTGTTTAAAATTACCTAAAAATAAATAGCATTTAAATGCTTTTAATTCAAAGCAGGCTAAGAATCACATTAAATTCTAATTTTTAATTCAATTCCAATTTAGTTTCAATATATTCCCTTTTGTAGTTTTAAAGATATCAATCTACATGCAGAAACTTAACCAAAGTGCAACGGCAACTAGTCAAGCTAACAAGGGCACCACATACAGGCTTAAGACGTGTCTGTTAAGGAAACACCTATCAATAACTAATTTTTCTGAACAATTTAAGTAAACAAGAGCAATCAGTGATCATGTGTTGCCTGATGATGGCAAATTAAACAGTGGTACCCCAAACTCAAAAGGGGTGATCTATTTGCCAAAACCAATGCACCTGTGAAGTTTGAGGGCAAAGGGTCCATGGTTTATCGAGTAATTGGTCCGAAACCATTTTGATATAAAAGGTCAATTTGATCTTGTCCTTTGACCTAGTGACCCAAAAAACAGTAGGGTATGACCAATCCCTATACCAAGTTGAAAATTCTTAGGCCAGGCATTGTTAAGCTATATGATGGGAAATAGTTTGGTCTAAGGACCAACCCACCAACCTTACTTTGTGTTTGTAAAGTTACTTTATTACAACATAATAACACAAATTGAACCTACTTGCAGCTGTCAAAAAGTTTCATAGCAGTCTCTCCATTCCTATAAAAAAGAAAGTAGTTTAATTGTTGTCAAAAAGTAGTCTTTTCGATTCATACAAAAAGTATTTCCATATTGAAATGACAGTGCAGTCAACAAGATGCAAAATAAGAAAAATGTACATGAAGAATGAATATGAATTGGCTCAAGGCCAAATTATTCTTGTTGATCATCTTTATTAAAATAAAAGATCTGAGGTAATTTCTTAGTCATCAAAATAGTATATATTTATTTATCAAGTGTTCATTTACATTAAGTACTTATTTTCTTTTTTTATTATTATTTTCAAGTAATTTTAGTGATCTTTAATTTTGTGATGTTCTTTAACCCTTTCACTGCCATAGGGACGGCATATGGCTTTTGCCTTTTCTGTCATATTAATAATAATTATAATAATAATTATAATAATAATAACAAGAAACATGGCAATGCCACGAAACCAGGTTTTCAATTATCACCATTGTAGACAAATATGTTGTATTTGAAATACAAGCAACAAACAATGTAAAACATGAATAATGTAGGAGGCATTGCCACAGAAGAAGTGTTCACTATATCTATATAAGAAAAAAAAACAAAGGGCCATAATTAGGTAAAAAAATTATCCAATCACAAAAACCCCGACAATATGCGCCAGGGCACTGGATGACAAAGCTTCTGTGAAAGTTTGAACAAAATCCGTTGAGAAATGTAGGTGTTCAGCACAGAAGAATTTTGTCACTGTATATTCTGTATAAGGAAATTAAAACAAAGGGTCATAATTAGGTCAAATATTATCCAATCACAAAACTACGATAATGTGCGCCAGGGCACTTGATAACAAAGCTTCTGTGAAAGCTTGGTCAAAACCCGTTGAGAAATGTAGGAGAAGTTGCGCATGGTAAAAATTGTTCACTAAAATAATCTGTATAAGGAAAAAAACAAAGGGTCATAATTAGGTCAAATATTATACAATCACAAAACCCTGACAATATACCCCAAGGCACTTCATGACAAAGCCTATGTGAAAGTTTGGTCAAATTCCGTTGAGAAATGTATGAGGAGTTGCTCACAGATGAAATTGTTCACTATATATTCTATATAAGGAAAAAAAAACAAAGGGCCATAATTAGGTCAAATATTATCCGATCACAAAACCCCAACAATATGCGCCAGGGCACTTGATGACAAAGCTTCTGTAAAAGTTTGGTCAAAATCTGTTTAGAAATGTAGGAGGAGTAGCGCACAGAAGTAATTGTTTACATACGCCCACCCGCCCGTCCGGCCGTCTGCCCGCACACATACCTCAATCTTATAACCAGTTTTTTCATTCAGAAAACCTGGTTAATAATAAATATATAGATAATTATACCATCGACAATAATTATTATAATCTGCAGATTTGGAAACATATATAATTATTATAATACTAATAACAAATAATAATAATTATATTTATTAATAATATATTAATTTCTTAGAAAACCTTCTGGCAAATAGGTGATCAATAAATAAATAACCCTCTGGCAGCGAAAGGGTTAAGTATAGGTTAAAGTTTAGTAGTACATATTAACAAATTGAAATTGGTCACAGTACAACCAATTTAATTTTGTAAATACGTACTAATAACTATTAACTGGCTTACTGTATGAAATTATTTTAATAAATAGTCAACTTAATAGACTGATTTACAGTTTGCCGATTTACCGAAGTAAATCTGTCAAGATTCTATCATTCATTTCAAATACTGCCATCCTATTGGACAAAAAAATAATGTCCAACACTAAGATATATACATCAACACAGTTAATGTTAGCTTGTGGAGGGAGACCTCATTTCCCTCCAAACCTACATAGAAACATGTAAAAGACATCATAATAATAATAAAGTCTTTATTTAAAGAGGCTACACAGTCGCAACAAAGGCATATACCCTGTGGGCCTCATAAAATGTACATATTTACAATCATACAGTTGTGAATAACACGAAATATTATGCAGAAACATTAACATAATTATGTTGATATTGCAAAAAGAAAATAGTGATACTAATTATATAAAGTGCACAAAAAATATACAGTGAAACAAGGCATTTCAAAATTACAAATAATCTTTGACAATTACAATATTTCAACTAGAGCAGTGATTTTCTTATAATTTTAAATTTGATTAGTCTTTTTCCAATTTTCTATGTATTTATGTTTAAAGTTTTGAAGTGATTGTGCAGAGCATATGCTGATTGGTATTTCATTCCAGATTTTTGACCCTGAACATAAAATCTATCAAAGTCTCAATATTTAGAGGGAACTTCTCCTTATAGACAACTAATAAGTTTATCATACATCATCTAAAAACATTGAATTAAATTATAAACAAATTAATATATTTACTTACCCTGCCAAAAAATTTCCTTTGATCAAATGTCTGTATATGTATTCATTAACTACAAATTTTGCTTTGCGCATGTGCTCCAAAATTTGACTGAATAATAAAGAAAAATTGTGACAACATCATAAATCAGAACAGCATGTAAATTAATTCTCTGAACACATATATCTGACAAATTTTACAAACTGTATAAAATGGAATCAAAATGACTTGATAAATATACATATAAATTTTATATGCACATTTTATAATAAATGCACAATATATTTATTAACCATATATTTGATCACATGATTATGCTCCTTTTCAATAAATATTATCATTATGAATTTCTTTAATGCTTAAAGAGGCATGCCTCCAGACGGGTGAAAAAATTTCAAGGAAATCAAACTGGAGAAAAATGTATTCAGAATTTAAGGAAAGTAAAAAGGTCTAAGATAAACATTATAATTTACATGTTATGTGATTAATGAATGATTTTGCAGTAATTTTGCACCATATTTCTACTGCGTTACTAATGCAGTAAGGGTTTTGTATGCATATTTTGACCGCTTTATAGTAATTTTAGTGGATTGTAAGTACTGTTTGCAATATGGTAATTATTTTCTTGGTCACATAACAATATTTTACCTTTAAAAACAATTTTAGAATTTTCATGAAAAATACCATGAATATGGAGGCATGCTGCTTTAAAATAAAATATTACGCTATCATCATAATGTCATGTAAAGTCAATAAATGGCATCAACTGCATCATATCAACAACAGCTGTCCATAACACAGCGTGCTTACTATTTTCAGTGCTTGACAGAAAGTGTCATAACTCTGTAAACAAGAGGGCCATGATGGCCCTGAAGTCGCTCACCTGTATATAGGCCCCCAGAGCGGGGCCAGTTTAAACCCCAGGGCTTTTGTTTGAACAAACTTGGTAGACACCCATTAGAAGATATTTCATGCTAAACATCTAAGGTTTGGCTCGTTGAGTTTTTAAAAAAAAGATTTTTTAAGATTTAACTATACACATATAGTTAAAAGCAATGACACCCCTAGGGCGGGGCCAGTTTTGACCCCATTTGACACTCACTAGAAGATGTTTCATGCTTAATATCTAAACTCTAGCTATTTGTTTTTTTTTAAATCAGATTTTTAAGTTTTTGCTATACACATATAAGGAAAATCAATGTCCCCCGGGGCAGGGCCAATTTTGACCCTAGGGCTTTTATTTGAACAAACTTTGAAGACACTAACTGGAAGATGTTTCATGCTTAATATCTTAACTCTAGCTATTTGGGTTTTTTTCAAAGAAGTTTTTTTAAGTTTTTGCTATACACATAAATAAAATCAATGACCCCCGGGGCGAGGCCAATTTTGACCCAAGGGCTTTTATATGAACAAACTTTGTAGACACTCACTAGAAGATGTTTCATGCTTAGTAACAAAACTCTAGCTATTTGTTTTTTTTCAAAGAAGATTTTTTTTAAAGTTTTTGCTTTACACATATAAGGAAAATCAATGACCCCCGGGGCAGGGCAAATTTTGACCCCAGGGCTCTTATTTGAACAAATTTGCTATCAGTTTCTGGTCTTGTTATATGGTTCGTAAGCGAACAGCATGGATCCTGATCCATGCTGGTCGCAAACCCATTATGTTGGTTTGTCGTGACGCGGCTCAAATTTATTCTACCAAATAGGCTTGTGTTCAGATAACTTACCCAGCTGACTTTACATCTCCCATTCTACAATATGCAGATACAACTCTTGATAGGGTAACCTGTAAAAAAAATACATGTATATGTAATGTATTATGTAAACTGGCTTAAATTTATCATCAATATGCCATGTTTTTTTTGTTTTGTTTTTTTAATTGCTTTTTTTTTCTATTTATTTAGAGTATTTATAAAACTTTTGTAGAATTGTTTGTTTGTTTGATTTTACGCCTTTTTCCAACAGAATTTCAGTCATATAGGCGGGTAGTTTCCTAACCATCGTTCCTGGAGAGTTACACCAGTACTAGACGTCCTTCCTCCGCGCTAAACTACCAAAGCATCTCCCGGGGATCGAACCCACGCCAGAGGGATAACTGGATTAGAAGTCATCGACTCTAACCCCTCGACCACGGAGGCGGACTTTTGTAGAAGACCAGAAGGTGATGCTACATGTCAAACATTATACAGTAGAAATTCAGTAAGTCTAAGTTAAAGGGACTTGCGTAAAATCTTTGAAAAATTCAAAAATTCGACACATAAAATTTCAACTCATGTAATATAGGTTTTAATAAAGAATATATTGGAGGGAAAATTGGGACTTTCATTTTACTTCTTCACATCGAGAAAATCGACTTATCAAAGTTTGACTGTCGTTTCTGAAGAGATTTTTTTGAAGAACAGTATCCTATACAAGTAAATGTGAACATGTAAACAAAATGTATCACCAGGGTCATGCCTTGTTTAACTCTATGCTTTCAGAGAAGCTATGCTATCCAGGGGGATGATTAGTATAAATTTTGAAGAGGCTTACTAGGAAAGACTACAATGTTACATATCTATACTTTGGGCAGTGTCACTTCTGAGTTAATTTTTAGTTATTTTTTAGCTCCTGTGATCAATTTCTGCCAAATAATATCAGTCAATAGTTAAGAAGGAGATGTTAAATAATTTTCTATTTCTAGCTCTGGTGGCAGACTGGAACCATTTGGCAACTTTTAAACTATTCAAGTAACATTCCTGTAAAATTTCATCAAAATTTACCAAACATTGAATTAAGAAGTAGATCTCGTTTAAAAGTTTTTTTCTTTTTTGAGCTCTGGCATCCACCCTGTTCAGCAAATCTGAACAATTTTAGCAATTTTTATAATGACTGCCCTATGATGATTTCTGTTGAGTTTCATCAAAATCTATTGGGAGGTTGAGATACACTTTTATTTTCTATCTTTAACTCTGGCAGCCATGTTGTTCAGCAGACCGGAACAATTTTACAAACTTTAGTAAAGGATTGCCCAATGCTTATTTCTGTATAGTTTCTTCAAAAACTATTTGGCAGTTAAGGACAAGATGTCATTTAACACTTACTTCAGTTTTTAGCACTCATGGTCGTCTTATTCAACAGACTGGAACCATTTGAGCAATTTTTAATGGAAAATTTTCCAAGGATCATTCCTTAAGAGTTTTATCAAAATTTACTAAATAATAGATCTTGTTGTAAGTTTTTTTATTGTTTTTTTTTTTAGTTCTGGCCAGATTCATCAATATCTATTGGGCAGTGGAGGACAAGATATTTTCTTGCATATCAGACAGGGTTATCTACCTTTTACACCGGTGCTAGAAACTCTATCTTACACCCCCCATGTAAGACAAGTCGCATGCTTTAAATGACGTCATTGCCGCGTGACTTTTATGAATGCATTGCATTCTTAAGATGACGTCATTTTACAGTTATGAATGAAGTTGTAAGTTCATACCCTACTATAAGAAAAAGTACGTAATGAGAATATCAGTTTTTGTAATTTCTGTTTTAAACGTAATTGATATGTAATATGCAAGAAAAAGAATCAAACACCGGCTGTCCATATAGACTGGAATATCTAGCTCTCAGGTAACTGTTTAGCGGGAAACTCGGCAGAGCCTCATTACCGCCGTAAACAGTTACCCTCGAGCTAGATATTCCTGTCTGTACCAGCAGCCAGTGTATGATTCTTATAATCTAAAACCTTTTTCTTTTCTTTTTAGCACCGGTAGCCATCTTGTTCAACAGACCGGGACGATTTTAGTAATTTTATAAAGGTCCATCTAAGAATCATTCCTTTAAAGTTTCATCAAAATCTACCTAATAGTAATGGAAGAAAGGTTTTTCTATTTTTAGTTCTGGTGGCCATGTTGTTAAACCATAGCCATTTGAGCGATTTTTGGAAGGGACCATACAAGGACTTGTGCTGTAAGTGTCATCACTATTGGTGCAGGGGTTTAGGAGAATAAATATAATTGTTTAAGTTTATGGACACAGGGGTATCACAATAGCTCACCTTGAGCATACAGTGTAAGTGTCATCACTATTGGTGCAGGGGTTTAGGAGAATATAACTGTTTAAGTCGATAGACACAGGGGTATCACAATAGCTCACCTTGAGCATACAAGTGAGATAAAAAAATTTACTCATTTATAAATAGAAAACTTACAACATTTGGAGTGACTCCATGTTTTTCCATTTCGGACAAAAATTTCACCGGTGAAAATCTATGATTGCCAATAAGATAATTCCTCAATGCCTCATTGTAATGAGATACATCTAATGGTATATCTGTAAATAAAATTCACAATAAAAATCAACACACCAGGAGCACCAATAATAAGATATAGTCCCACACAAAAGCATTGCTAAAATCATGAAAGTCTCTTGCTAACAAGACAATTTTTCAGCATAATAATTCATTCGTATATTAAATAATGCATAGAAGAAGTATGTCCTTTATATTTTTATGAAGAATTACATTTATGTAGTAAGGTTCTATACCGTGAAAGACTTCCTTAATGTATGAAAGTTTCTAATTATGTTTACATAAGACAAGTTCTATCCACATATAATAACATTGTATCTTTATGCATAAAACTGTAACAGTCATATTATGGCATTTCACCTTAAAAGACCTATTTTGCCTTAGAAATGCTTTTTAATTTCATTTCTCAAAAGCTTTTTATTTTTTGTTATCCTCTTAAAAGTACAAATTATGATTTCTTCTTATCGGAGGCATAATGTGCTTTAATGCAATTAAAAGTACATATTATGTTTTCTTCTTATCTGAGGCATAATGTGCCTTTAATGCAATTTAAAGTATATATTCTGTTTTCTTCTTATCTGAGGCATAATGTGCCTTTAATGCAATCAAAAGTACATATTATGTTTTCTTCTTATCTGAGGCATAATGTGCCTTTAATGCAATCAAAAGTACATATTCTGTTTTCTTCTTATCTGAGGCATACTGTGCCTTTAATGCAATCAAAAGTACATATTATGTTTTCCTCTTATCTTGTGAATATTCTTAATTTCCTTATGAGAGACAGTGGAAATGCCTGAAACAAGCAATTTAACTGAAATCCTTACTTAATGAGTGAAACCGTTCAATGAGATATTCTGTCCACTTATTTCTCATTGCTTCTGTTATATCTTTATTTTCCCTTCCTAGAGAACTAAATAATAGCAACATCTCATCCTCTGTAAATGTATCTGAAATTATAATATTTTCTTTACATCATACAAAAAACATGCTTAAAACATTTAAGAGAGACCTTTATTATATACTTATAAACAAGAGGCCCATGGGTGGCCTGAAAGGTCACCTGAGTATTCTACAGCAGATTATATATGATAATGTTTTCTTCTTTTTTTTTCATAAATAACTACGTACATTGATTAAATACATCAAACCTCACATAAATATCTTAATATCTTAATAAATATCTTAATATTATGTATAATATTATATTGTGCAACTTCGATATCCTCTTCCTGAGGCCTAAACCCTAAGTAAAAACAAAGGAGTGATCATATGCATTCCACAGTGTTAAGGACAGATTTGCCCGGGCCATTTTTTATAAATTTTTATAAATCAGCCCCAATTTTGCCAATAAAAAAATGCACTGCAAAAAGGGTAATAATTCTGTCAAATCTTGCACGAGTTACGGACCTTGTATTGTGATCTCCTATTTTGTATTATGCTTTCAAATAAGTGTGTGAAGTGTCAACACATTCCCTTTAGTAGTTTTGGATATATCAATTAACAGGCACCTAAGCCTAGGTGAGTGCAATAGTTCACCCTATTCTTTGAATAGTCAAACACATTTGAGTATTTTGTGTTGAGGTGAGCTGAAACTGAAATTAAACAAACCTTGCTGCTCAGCGATGGCCATTAATTCATGGAATCTTTCGATTGTCACAAATTTTTTAGTAAAGATGTCATGATATATCTTCCTGCAAGAACTTGTAAAATTCAGATCTCTTTCTTTGACGCTGAAATCATAATTCTTCCAGAAATTGCTTGCTGGGTAGTTTTCAGAGTACTTCAAAACTCTCCTTCTGCTGGCATTTTCATTTTGTGCGTCTAGGTTTGTTTCCTCTTTGGTATTCACTTCATCATAATTGACAGCATTATTTTCTCCACTTAATACGGTATATAACCTCTTGGTCACTCCAAGCCTGAAAATTAAAACAAAATTTAATCAACCAAGATTGAAAATTCAAAACAGAGTCTGGTAAGAAGTGTGCACAACAGCTCATATATATTTAAACAACATGCCTCAGTGAAGATTCAATTTTTATCAATAGTTATATTTCTGAGGAAAACAGACAAACTTGTCATTTGTCACATATTTTCACGATACCAATTTTTTATATATAAATCAAATGGCATATTTAATCTGTTTTAAGCTCTGTAGCCAATAAAGCTCTGAAGCCAACAGAAATATTTATAATTTTTATATAACTAATGAATCAAAAGCACTTCTGACAATGTTTATATAATAATGATGATGTTTTTAAGTGTTTGAATGGTCTAATTCACTCTCATATTTTATATTTCCCTACCGACCGTTTATTGCCAAATAAAATACAAAAACATAATTTAAAAATAATAATTATTATTTGGAGATACATACTACACATACTGTACAGGGATCAAAAATTCTTTTACGAGCAACTTGTCTGGCAGGACAAGTGGCTTCAAATTCTACTTGTCCTGCATGCTTTGCTACTCGTCCTGTATTTTTGCCTTGATTTTCAAGATAAACTTCGCAGATGCAATAATACCTCGCCGATGCAAAAGACCGCTAAAAATTCTCACAATCTCTTTACATAAATTTAACAAACCAAAACAGGAAACAAAGCTTGTGCTTTATGTTATGTATAAATCGCGCACTTTATAGGGCATTGTCAGACGCATTCCAGCCACACCCAAATCCAATTAACAATGTGTTCAGAGCTTTATAAAGCCCGCAAAATATGCATAACCTAAAACTCAAGCTTAATTTCCAGTTTTCCATCCTTAAATGTACACAAACTGATTTAAAGAATTCTAGCTTTCTATAACATTGGCTAATTTCCACTTGTCCTGCCAGACCAGCATACAATGATTCTGTACTCATCCTGCATTGATATCTACTAGTAAATACTAGTGATGAAAATCGGATTAAATTTGTCCCAATCGATCATCGGTTCAATCGGTTGGAACATAACCGATAACTTTTCGAATAAAGTCGCGTTAAAAAGAAATAGGGAAGTAACATTTCATCCCAAGGTACTTAACTATATTCAGTAACTTAACTTCATTTGGCATTTTTTCAACACCTTATATAGCCATAATTTTACGAAAGAGATTTTATTTTTCAATGGATGTCAAATAATAACATTTGCATCACATTATATAACTATTGTTTACATCACGTACTGATCCTGTTCAATTCTTAATTGTCTCTGAGATGATATTTTTGCGATCGGCGAAGTGTTGAATTAATTCCCTTTGTTACCTAAAATTTTTTTGACGTAGTCGTGGAACAAAGACTCTTTGTTGGAACTGCATTGGTTACCAATTAAAGCTAGGATCAATTTTAAAATACTATGTACAATGTATAACTGTTTTATGGGCAATGCTCCTGGTTTATCTAACAGAACTGTTACACAAGCCTGTCATAAAAAGACCAAATCTCAGATCTGTTGATAATATGGATTATTGTTTTGCTGTCCCCTTTAACAAAAGGAAAACATTTAACGACAGAAGTTTTAGTACCGTTGGAATAAATTGCCTCTGTATATAAGACAGTCTTCGACTTTGGACATGTTCAAGAAAAATGTCAAAACCTACTATTTTAGAGATTGTTACGCATTGTTTTAAGATTGTGATTGGGCTGTAAACTGATAGAGATGTGGAAATGTGTTTGAAATTTTACCGAAATAACCATTCATTTTTATTTTTTATAACTATTTTTTCTTTTTTTAAAGTTTTTAATACTTTATATTTTACACGGCTGATATCTTTAACATATTTTTTTGTAGTTCATTTGCCATGCATATGTGTTGTTTTTTTTATCTATATGTACATACTTTTATTATCCTTTTGTACAACGCCATTGAATATGTATATAGAACAGTTTCAATTAGCTTAAACAGGGCCAACCAAATTAATATAGTAAAATTTATTTACAGACTTTCCGAAATATGTCGGTCCGACGGACATGTCCGATAAATTTTGATCAGGTCCGACAATCTTTTATTCCGGATCGGTCCGACTGTCCGGCTTTTATCCAAGCCGCATGTATACAAAATGGCGTCGCTAAAGGTGCCAAACCTGGGAAAAACCGAAAATCTACGTCAGAAGAGTGCGCAAAACAGCAATAAAAGGATGAAAAGAATAGACCCGAGACGAAATTTAATGAAAAATGGAAGCAGAACCATGAATCATCGGTGTATGACAGGGAGGAGATGAACATGCGCTGTACGGATTGTGCCGATTTTTACGGCGAAAAAATAAAAAACAAAAAGTGTCTAAGAAATACAAACACAAACAAGTTTTTCTTTGATTTTGATCAATTTTATTTGGTCTGACAGATTTTGTTTCGGTCCGACAGATTTTCATGGTTTGTCAGACCGAATGTCTGACAGTTTTTTTCAACTTTCGGGAAGTCTGTATTTACTGATTAACGAATTGCATGATTGATCTATCTGGTTAACATGTACACTGTCTGGTTAACATGTGTACACTGAACATGTAATGCTTAAATCATAAATCATAAGAGCTTTCCGCGCCATAGGTAGCACCTAATTTCATATTAATGCTGGAAGGTAACATAGAGGATCCTTCCTTCATTACTTAATGAATGTTATCACATATGGGCTATGATCAAAATCCCAAAAAGTAGAACGAAAGAATGCATATCTATACCAGGGCCGGCAAAATCAATTGTCCGAGTTGCCCGAGTCGTAAAATTGTAGGTCCGGGCAAGAAAAATTCTGCAGTTTACTTGTCCGTGGACAAGTAAATTTCGGCGGCTAAAAGAGGAATTCTGAAGAAAAAAATCTAGTTCTTTTCTAATAGATCTAAATCAGAAGGAAAATCACACATTTAATACGAAAACTAGCGTGTGAAGTGTGGTGTCATTCATGAGGGCATTCCGTGCATATTAGGGTGTTACTATTTTAAGTGTTTACATAAATAGCGACCAACCAGGCTTGGGGTTTTCCTTACGTCATGCAGTTACTGCATGCGCGCGGCAATTAACTAATTATTGAGGGTACATGTTTGTTTTGGTTTATGACTGCCGACTTAGCCTCTGCAATCAAATATTTTCGGTTGCAACGGGGTTCTGCCATAAAATTGAATTGGAAGCTGTGGTCTTTTCAAGCGCATTTATTGTTTAGATAGCAGACACAGCATCAATCCCGCAACAATTGTCTTTGAAATACCGCTGTGTTATTTATGAAAATTAAATACATTGTATAGCTTTTCCAGGTCATTCGGGAATATTTACGCTCATATCGGCAATTTGACTGCTTGAATTTATGTGGACAAAGTCATTTTATAATTTATTTTATGTAAAGATTTCTTGTGAAAATGCCTTTGTTTTTGAATGTCTAATACTGGTGTTAATGTATACATGTCAGTTTCATCGTCGCCGATGGTAATGATGTCAAAATTTTCACAATTCATCTGCTGCAACCAAGCGTATATACGTATATGATATTACATTCTGTGGCAATCATAATTATATCGTTAAAAAAGCCAGATGTCATCAATTTGACAAATCTAACTCAAGAGTACATATGATTTTTAATAGGATTAAATGAATATTATATAGATGAATAGAATAAGGAGTGAATAAATAAGAAATGGTACCAGAGTGCAAAAAAATGAAGACAATATTTTAGAGCAATTTGGGTGCAAGGAAATCTGAAAAAGTGCTGGCAAAAGACCAATGCTCCTTCCAGTAAAATATACACAATTTGTCCATCACTGTCGTTCTACTTTAATCTACTGCCGTTAACATTTTATAAATATATTATATTATAATCATAAAATATTATATTATTAAACAGGGCTCCAGATAATTTTTTAGGGCAATGAGTATTTACTCATTGATTTTTTTGTGAATGAGTAAAACTTGAAATCTGAAATTTGGCAGGAGTATTTTTACTCCTTAAAATGTATGTAAAAGAGTAAAACATTTATTATGCTTCCATGTTTATTGCATTATCATACTTGTAATACAAGATATGTCAAAGTCATTTCTTTTGCTTTTTGGACTCCCTTGGTTAACAATCTTGCATTTCCAAACGGCATACGTTTTATCTGAACCTGAGACATGTTTCTGTTGCTCATACGTGGCAGCGCTAATTATTTCATTAATTATAACCTTAACCGATTTTTTTCGGCATAAAATACGAGTCAATCGTTTTAACTCTTGACAGCGACATTGTACCGGATGTTTATGAAATTGTGTTAATTCCACCACCTTACTATACATACGATAACATCCGATGATAGTCGGAACTACAGGAAGTTTCCGTTAGACGTTGCAAAGCATTCATACGAAGTTAATTCCACCACCATACTATACATACGATAACAACCGGTGATGGTCGGAACTACAGGAAGTTACCGGTAGACGCTTGCAAAGCGTTCAGACGAAATTAAAAATAAGATAATCACCGAGTTTACTTTCGGTTACGTTTACGCGAAAGAAATGTTGCTCAATGCGTAACCTGAATTTTGTGTTTTTTCATACGCTTAAAGTTTGTTTTGAATGCGTAAACGTGTTATTTCCATGCGTAATTTACGCGTATACGCATCTTATCTGGAGCCCTGATTAAACATATGGCATAGAATGTTTAATAAAATTGAAAGAAATTTCATAATCATATTGCTCTTCTTTATTGACATTTGCAGTAAATATTAAATATAAATACGGACAAGTGAACATTGAGTACGGACTAGCTAAAGATACTTCAGCGATCAGGATTTATAGTATTGCTAGACCTGTTCGCTGAAGCCAACCCCGTATCGAAAGTCAACCAGACCCGTGACATTTTGATGTCATGCTGTAATTCAATAAATTTTCGTGATCTGGACAAAAACTATTTTAATACAGGTAGTTAGATATATTTGGGACCCTTCAGTCTATATTTTTGAACGCAGAATGTTAGATTTTTGAAATATTGCCTCAAAGTTTATCAGCGGGTTCACATTTCATAAAATTCTCCGCCATTGCTGCCCTAATTATCACGTGACCAGCGAGAATTTAGGTTCGGATACCTTTGCATGACATTTGGTGACACGTGACCCAAATGCTATTTTTAATTGAATACATGGCTTTGCAATTATGAATAACGGTGTATTTATTCAATAAAAGACATTGTACCAAAAACATGGTTGGATTTATATTGTTTTGAGTGATGATTCATGAATTATTTGTTTGTTTTTATATAAAATCATACACTTACTAAAAATAGTGTATGGTCCGTTACTAAAAATAGATGCTAGAATTTCCAAAACATGAAGTCCCGCGAGATCTCATTTGAAAGCAGACTCCATATTGGTAAACATTCTCTACATATTTCTCTAAAAAATAGTAGGGTACACAATGTCATTGAAGTTTCATTTAAAAACAAAACATGAATTAGTTCAAAATTGACTTGTTTATCAAATGGTATTTTTATTTGACCCAAATTTGATTAATAAGGGTGATTTTAATAGGTTTTAATGTACGGCGCACGAACTGTCAAATTCTGGTAGCCTTTGCAAATAGGGTTTACCCATAACTTTACTGTCGCAACGTCAAAATAAAAGCGACATATAAAGTTATGGAAGCCAGAACTAAGTACGGACAAGTAAATTTCTTAGGTTACTTGTCCGTGGACAAGTACAATTTTCTGAGATTTTGCCGGCCCTGCTATACTGATACAGAAAGGTTGCTATATTCTTATAATTATCAAAAAAAATCAGGGACTTCCAACTTAAGGAAAGGACTTTTGAATTCAAAAACAGATGTCCTGGTGGGATTCCTGGCTGAAAAGTAAGTGTTAACCCCTGAATAATAAGAAACAAATAATTGTTTTATGAAAAAATGCACCAGCATCAAATGGGAAATGGGTATTTGCTAATAAAAAAAGATTAAACATCCAAAACTTTAATGCTGCATTAGATGAAAAACAAAAACTAATTTCTAGCTACTTGTTATGTAAGGTTTTAGAAGCCAGAACTACTGTAGTTTCTAATGGTCTACACAGAATGTGCGTTAGGCCTACATCTGTGATCATGAATGGGAAAAAGTGAAATTATATAAAGAAAACACTCATTTTGTTTTCTAAATGAAGTCTACTATCAGTCATAATTAGCGAAATCTTAGCTGACAGTTTGCTTTACAGGTCGCGAAAATGCATGTCACTAAAGTGACCTTGGGTAGAAAGAAGTATTTCTAGATTGGACGCCAATATACCTTCGTGAATATGGAGCTTGCAACTTGCCAAACAAATGTTCCTGTCGATTAAGGTAGCTCTTTGCTGTGTTTCTACAGTAACTTTGAAATGAACGGTTAAAATGCTTGGAGTACCGGGCACAACGTGCGAGTGCCGACATTTTGAGGTAAAGACGAACTTATTTATTACATCGCTATCGTCACCTGTCCCTGTTAGCTGTGTGACATAACCTCTTAAAACGTGTACTTGATCTTTATTGCCTATACACTCTTAATTTCATCTTTTCGTGAGGGAGAGGAGAATTCCTTTCACTCATGCAGTTGTCATTAATAACATATGATGTAACATCATAATAACAAATATCAGAGACATAGATAACATGTTATCTATGTCTCTGTAAATATATATTATATAAATGATAATAAATATTAAAGTTGCGACTTACATAATATAACTTTTAAACGTTATATACTGGAAAAGTATTGACTAGCTAAATTGGGGATTCTGAATTTTTAAGTGACTATTGAAAATTTCCTGCATTTTACATTAATTCAATTTTCCTTACAACATATCATGGTTGGTTTAATGAAAAAAAATCAAAAAAATCTTCAAAACAACAATTTTTCTTTAAATTTATCTGACAGGCCATTTTTAAACATGAAAAAACGCGATTTAGGGTAATTTCAAGTATTTTCATAATTTTCTGTTAACCTATTACGTCATATACACGCCTTTTAACGCCTTTTTCAACCCCCCCCCCCACACCTTTTTGTTGTGAAAATTGTTGACAAATGGTGAAAAAAACCTTATTTAGGTACACTTGTTTTTGTTTGAGAAATGTCGTTAAAAAAGTGACCTCTTTTTCGGCGCGGCCCCCAACCAGAAGATACATCAGGGGGTTGCAAGAAGAGGGATGTGCCCCCTTCTGTTTGGGGGGTTAGAAGGGGGTGTAGTCCCCCTCATCGCCAAGAAAATTTTGGACTTATGAGAGGCTATAAATGACCCCAGATTGATCATAAGGTAACGTGTAACCAACGCTGAAAAGCATTTGACTCTATCTCAATCCATTGAGAAGTTGCAGCACTTTGAAATCAATTTTGATGGAAAAAATCAACGCAAAATAGTGATTTTTGGCAATTTTGAGATGTCCCCTCGTTGCCATGGTAACAGAAAATTTAAGCCTGAGCATGTTGTTGCAAGGGCAATGGTCCAGTCAACATTTGTGCCAAGTTTGATTAGTGTTGAAGCAGTTTTTATAGTATTATAGCAATTTAAACTTGTAACGGGAGACTTTTCAATGAAAACAGCCATTTTTCACAAAATGCTCATGAAGTAATGGGTTAATATACACACAGATATACTATTAATCTCCATGATATACATGTGAATATATTGTTGTGTAGAATTAACTAACACGTATATATTTTCTGCAAGACGAGGATTTTGACTTTTAATTAAATTTGCTTATGCTGGGTCTTTCAAGTCGAATAAAACACGTGATTTTGATTATATAAAAAATGTTTTACGTTACAGTAGCAGTACATTGATCTGAATAAAAAAAGATCTGAAAACGCGAAATGATTGACATTCATTTTCTATTTTCACTGTAACTGCCACAATTTGGCATTTTTTCATTTTATTTCTCCTCACTTTTTTGTAATGTTACTTCCAAATATGCAAATGTGAGTCATTCAAACTGTTTATGAAAGTACGTGTGCGTACCACCTAGAACGCCTCGGGTAACAATATTTTCCGGCCATTCTCTTTCAAACTTTTTATTTCCATCTTAGGTTTACATCAAGTAAACAACATAAGCATCGTTTTATAATAATTACAGTGAATAATGGCGGCATATTAACAAGTGCTATGTAAATAGAGAATGACAAACATATCCAATTCATACATGTAACATTACAAATAAACATACATATAGCAAATAAATATATGTTTCAAGTAAACAAGCAATCCAGGCATATCAGTATTACAAATTTTTAGATATAATTTCGATAAAAATACTAAGTTTATTCAGTAAAGTTTTATTTTCACTACTAAACAATTCTTCTAATTTGAAAAAATTGGGATTAACATAAAAATACCGTTTTAAATACTTTTTTCTTTCCTCAAAAAACTTTTGACATTTGAACAAATAATGAAATTTGTCACCTACATCATCATTACAAAAGTGACATTTTCTTTCAGAAGAAGGTATACCCTGCCATCTTCCTGTTTCCACAGGTAGCCTATGATTTCTAGTAAAAAAACACATAATTGATAAGCTTCGTCTAGATGACAAAATCTTAATATAAGCACTTCTACCAAATTCAGTTTTAATACCTTTGTAAATATTCGTGTTTGATGTTAATTGTATATCAGAGCGCCATTTCTGTATAAAATTATCTTTTAATTTTCGGCAAATTGACCCAATCAGCCATTTCTCATTTAAAAAACTCTGACAGTACCAAACTCCAGAAAAACCTGAAGAACATAACAAATTTCTAACATTTTCGATCCATTGGGACTTAACATTGTTTAAAGTATTCATTTCATATAACATGCTGTAAACCTTACCAGATAGTTTGTCGGTATTTTCGCTCGAACAATTTATTAGTTTCGTCCAAAAGGATATAACTCTTTGGTATATATCAATACGAACTGGAAAAATTCCAAGTTCACCATATACCATGTATGAAGGTGTTGATTTCTTAAGTTTAGAAATATATTTGTAAAACTTTAATTGAACTTTTTCAATAATATCAACAATTCCAAACCCCCAGATTTCACATCCATAAAGTAAAACTGGCTTTACCAGTTTATCAAAAAGATCAATCTGTAATTCGTATGACAAATTTAAATGTTTAATTTTTTTTAAAAGTGAAAACAATGCTTTATTTCCTTGGTCTGCTATGTATTTCTTCGTTGAAATAAACGACCCACTTTTAGTAAAATAAATGCCAAGGTACTTGTATTCTTTAATAATTTCTACTTGGTTATTGCCAATATAAAATTTCAAGTTTCGTCTTATGTTACCTTTACTAAATATAAGTACTTTTGTTTTATCAACATTTATTTTTAATTTCCATTGATCACAATATGTTTTGAAAGTATTTAATGCATTTTGTAAATCCTTTTCAGTTTCTGCAAAAATTACAGTATCATCTGCATACAAAAGAACAAATATTTTCAAGTACATTTGCAAATTTTCTACCTTCCAATTTCTACAAAATCCATTAGCATTTTTATCACATAAATAGTCTTCCAAGTCATTTAAAAATATACTAAATAAAAACGGGGAAAATTTTCGCCCTGTCTAACACCAACATTACAATCAAAAAAGTTAGTAGAACCTTCACTTGAGACTACTTTTGACTTAATATTACTATACAAGTTATAGATAACACTAAAACATTTTCCATTATTTTTTTCTTTTCGTAATTTATACCATAGACCGTTTCTCCAAACAGAGTCAAACGCTTGTTTAAAATCTATAAAACAGCAATAAAGTTTCTTACTATTAGACTGCACTATATCTATTAGGCTTTTGAGTATAAACTAGTTGAGTAAGATTTTCCGAAACCTGCCTGAGATGTTTTTATAAGTTTTGCCATTTCTGCATATATATTTAATCTGTTATTCAAAATGCATGTAAAAATTTGCCAAAACAGCTCAAAAGTGAAATAGGCCTGTAATTTTCAGGTAGAGAAGGATTACCTTTATTTTTATAAATTGGTTTTATTACACCAATAGTCCATGATTCTGGAATTAACCCAGTGTCAAAAATAACATTAAACAATTTACAATATAATGAAATCATGGTATTGGATGATGATACTATCTGTTCATTTATTATATTGTCAATACCTTGGGCTTCATTATTTTTTAAGGGTTTTAATAGCTTTATGGATTTCAGCTTCAGTAATTTTCGAGTTAATTTCTTCATTTAAAATATCATTGTTTTCGACAAAGACAGGACAATAATTTCCATTTTCAAGATCATCAGAATTCAATTCTTGGAAAAAATCAAAGAAGTCATCTAGACTTGCATTTGTTTCTGACGCCTTTACTTTAGGGTTAATAACTTTCCAGTACATTTTTGGATTATTTGTTTTTAACGACTTTAATTTTTCAATTCTTTCATGCATGAGTATGTCGTTGCCGAGCGTTATGCATTGCTTTTTTATAGTTTTTACTTACCGTTTTAAGAAGCTGTCTAAAATGTTCTGTTTTGTATCTATTGTACGCTTTTCTTGTTTTGTGATAAATATTTCTGGCATTTAAACAAAAGGTATCAAACCAAGGGTAGGTATTTTTATCAACATGTTTATATCTTTTGGGTTTCATTGTTCCAAAAGACTTTCTTGAGCTATCATCAAAAAGTTTTCCAATATCTGAAACAATTTCGTTTAAATCATTTACCGATAAATTTTCATTAAAAGCTAAATTGTCTATTCTATTTTCAATTTCTGCAATTTTCAAAATATCTAAGTTTTCTGTAAACACCTCTGACTTTCCAGAGTCCCAAAGCTTTGTAATAGGATCAGTGTTTATCTCTTTTACATATTTATTTGTATGATAAGTACTATAAGTTTGTACATCTTTTTTACATTTGAGAGTTAATGACACAGCACAATGAACATCAGAAAATAAATCACAAAATTCTTGCACTTCTAACTCATCAATATACTTCAGTTAAAATTTACACCCTTTCAGTGAAGTTATACTGAAATTATTTTCAACATCATATCAGTAAGTTTTTTTTTTAATCGGCGGTTTGAAAGTGTTCCCATTTTACCTTTTTTTCAAATGCCAAAAATGTTCGTGACAACGTACCTTTTGCTTTAAAAAAGGCTGTTTATAATTACATTGATGAAATGTTATTTGAATTTACTTTTTAATACCACATGATACATAAATTTCTAATTTAACAATTGATATCATGATTTACTTGCTTAATTAAGCTTATATACTTTTTTTAAAACTCATATGCAAAAAATGGAAATCAAGATATACTAGCTAGGACTGCTTAACTGTGATTCAGATTTGTCTTATTATTATGAGAGCTACGACCTAGTATAATTGTCATAAATCAAAGCACAGAAGGCACTGAATTTGTTTGGATAAAGATGAAGGTACCATTCGTCAAATCTTACTGCAGCGGTAATCAGGTAAAATATAGTACCTTAATTTTTTTAAGCTGACTCATCACAGATATTTACAATATGAAAATATTTTCATTCTTTAACTTCATATCTGCAATTTGTAAAGATAATAATTCTCTGAAAAATTCTTGATTTTTGTTTGTTTATTTTTTCAAAATCACTACTCCGTGACGTCATACTGCGGCGGTAATCAGGTTTAGTCATACGTTGGTCATAAATAGTTCTGGTATGAAAACCCTTCTACATAATAACTTTATCAATAATTTTTTAACAAAAAGCATAAATGAGAATTTATAAGTAAATGCTTTAATTAGGTGGCAAATATTCTTTATTATTTTTTGATAACAATTTTCCAATTACTACGCAGCGACGGGTCATTAACTAGAACGTTGCAACACCGTAGTCTCAATATCATGCATGTTCTTTTGTTGTTATAAACCATTAATAGTCCTTAATATTTTTTTAAAGACAAATAATGATAAACTGTCGCTTACATCAGAGACATGGATCATGCTTGCGTGATAACTAAGGAAAACTATTATTAGTACACCCTAGGAGGCTGTACGCGGAAATCGCTCATAAACCGCTATATCATACAGCTGTTAGTAAATATTTTGCATTCATTTAACTAAAAATTCACTGATGGTGATGAACATATAGTTTGAAAATATTATATTCTTGAACCATTATCGCCGAAAAAAACTATTTAACTACAAAACCAGCAAGGACCCTCCGACAAAATTTCAGCATTTACATTACATTTTACATAAGCAAAGTAAAAAAGCAATACTTATATTTTTTTGGGATATGCACCAGTCTACGGGGGAAAATATAAGCTTTCCACAGAATATTGGATCTTCGTCAGTTTATAAGCCGTTTTATCAAACACTTTGCATAACCTTGGAATTTGCTTGTATTAGAGCGGGCTTCAGTTGCAAGCTATTTCGTTTTCTGGCGTTATCTGGTCTACGTCATGATTAAAAAGTCAGGTTTACATCAACCGGGAGTACGGAAGGCAAAACTCTACCTAAATATGTTCATATCTTTATTATGAATGACATAAATCTTACATTTTTCTTCAATTGTCAATTCTGGCACCAGTTCCAAGTCGAAAAAAAGGACTACAGTTTAAAGCAGATTTTAGAATTCGTTGCTAACTGAATAATCTTTCTATTGAAGTGTGTGAACTTTTGTGTGATTTTTCCTTTGATATATTTTAAGTATATAATCTTTTTCACATTTCCTTTGTGTTTTTAATTGACAGTATCTTGTTTAATGGACTGAAAGCAAAACATGAATACAAAGCTGTTAATTAGCTGTACTGATTATTGTATTAGTATGTAATAGTTAAAGTAATTCATATTCTTTTAAGGTGTTTTGAAAATATATGTTTAATTAGCTCATATTTTTGAGTAACCATAACTGCAGAATAGCTATTGGTCAAAGATGAACAAGACAAGTGCAATTATGAAAAATGTAAGTATAACCCATTGGCTAATAAATTTTGAGTCGATTTTAATTATTGAAGTTTTGTACTTAAGTCTGTTTTCGGTTTGATCCTTACCTTATGTCAGCCCGCATAGCTCAATCGGTTAGAGCGCGAGACTTGTAATCTCGACATTGTGGGTTCGATTCCCGGGCTGGCCAACTGAAATTACTAATCAGTCTTTCGGATGAGACTTTAAATCGAGGTCAAGTTATGACAAGTTATATTCATTTGGTGACAAATTTGTGCTTTTACATTGTGCTTAATTTACATAACTGGTGCTATTTATTTGTTTAATTAATGACATTATGGATGATCTTTGTATTAAATGCAGGATAATTGTGTCTGATAATGATGCTGCAGTTGATTGTGATAAATGTGGGAACTGGCAACACATAGCATGTGATACCGGTAAGTTTATTTAATTTGTTAGCAATTTTTTTAAGTTATAGGTAAATACAAATTGTTTTTTTTATATTCATTACAATAAGTGGATAAATAATTTTTGTATATTTTATCAGAGACATAGGTAACAGAGATAGGAAACTTCCTTACCAGTTCAGATATCACATGTGCTTATTAAACTTAAAACTTATATAAAGTAAAACTTATGAACCAGATTCTAAAAGCTTATGCATTTGTCTATGGCTGCCGGTAAAAAATAAACAGTTCCAATTTACGTTACGCATGCGCAATAGTAATGGACGTTCAAAATTTTGTAACAAAGAAAAATTCGAAAAATTGAGGATATATAAGAGATAAATTTACATAAACTGTGTGAAAATATGCGGATTAAGAGGTTTAATATATGCTTAAAGTATATGAGTGATATGAGGTTTGACTTTTAGAGCTAAATGGGAAGAAAGAGAAAGAAAAGTAAAAGTTCACCACAGAACAATAACAGAGACAAAAGGTTAGCTATGGCGCATAATGTTCCCCCAATCGCACAAAGCCAGCAGATATTGCAACAAAACGGACAATATCAGTCAAATATAAATGGATATAATGGGTATAGTGGATTACAACAGGCAAGTCCAAACTTTGTTAATCAAAACCAACAAACAGGGCAACCTATGTTTCAGTATTCACCTGTTAATTTGGGGTCACAAACTGGGACGCAGTACATTCCACAGCCACAAACACCGACCTCCTCGGGAACAAGTGTGAGCAGTGATCAATTTTCTTTGCTTATCCAACGTCTTGACTTAAAACTTGCCCAATTAGACTCTATACAATCTACCGTTAACGGTATTAATATTCGTCTAAACTGTCTGGATCAAAAAGTTAACGGTCTAGAGACAAAAATGTCGGACATTGAGATAAGCCGTAACCATGATGCGAGCTGCATTAGTGATATAAGTAAAAAACAAAAAGAGCTCGATTCTTTAATGTCAAAATTCAAGAAGTTAGAAAATGAACAGTGTAAAAGGGAGCAGGATATGAAGGCAGAAATTATTGACCTGAAGGGGAGGAGCATGCGCGATAACTTGCTCTTTTTTGGCATTGAAGAAGAGAAAGGTGAGAAGGACTCTGATTGTGTGCAGAAGGTTTTGATATTTATCGAGGAAAAGTTAGGTCATGAAAATGCAACTACAGACGTCAAACTCCACCGTGCACACAGAATAGGAAAGTATAAGCCGACGGGCACTAGGCCTATTGTAGCAAAGTTTGCTTATTTCCCTGATAGAGAAAAGGTGCGATTGGACGCTAGAAAATTAAGTAGGCCTTTTGGCATCAGTCAGCAATTTCCGGTAGAAGTCATGGAACGCCGACGAAAACTAGTTCCGGTCATGCTCGACGCACGGAAGGCCGGGAAGGAAGCGTATCTCGCAAGCAGACAAGCTGTACATTGACGGACATTTGTACAGGGATGGGGCGACTTCCGGTTCCGGCTAGGATCGTCACAGAGCAGAGATACGGTGTGTAGCGTGGAATATTGAAGGACTTTCTCAATTAAAGAAAAATAACACTGACTTTACAAACTTTATTGGTAATTATGACATCATATTTTTAAGTGAAACCTGGACTAATAAAACATCAAAAATAGAACTAAATGGGTATAAACTTTTTTCACTCTTATAGAAAATTTCAGAATAAACGAGCCAGACGGAGCAGTGGGGGCATTTTAGCGTATGTAAAAAGGTCGATCATAAAAGGTGTTAAACTAGTCAGAAATGACATTGATTGTATTATGTGGTTGAAACTGGATAAATATTTTTTTTCCAGGTACCAGAAGATATCTATCTATGTTCCATATATATTGCCCCAGAAAGTTCACCTGTTCATAATCTATATGATACTGATATATTTAGAAAATTAGAGAATGATATAAAATTCTTACGAAAAATAAAGGAATGGTATATGTGTGCGGAGATACAAACTCGAGAATTGGTTCAAAATCTGACTGTATAAATTATGATATATTGTTATATGATCATGATTATTTAGCTATGGATACATTTATTCCGCGGACGACGACTGATCGTGGTACAAACCGGTTTGGGGAGCAATTACTTGATCTTTGTAAATCTACCGATATACGCATTGTAAAACGGACGGTTGGATAGCGACGCGAATCTCGGGAAACCTACTTGTTATACGTATAACGGGAATAGTGTAGTGGATTATTTGTTAACAAAAGCATGCAATTTTGAAAATATTTCAGAGTTTCGTGTTCATGATTTGACCGCCCACTCAAATCACGCCCCGATTTCATTCTCGGTGAAAGTAAGGACCGTGCCAGTCGTAACGAATCCGCGTAAACGCACGATTTATAAAATGGAATCCAGAATATAGGACGGAATTTGTAAACGATATATCGCGAGACATAGAAATGCTTTGTCAAAACTTAAAATGAATCCAAGCAAAATAACCAGAATCCAGATGAAATGGTTAATATTTTACAACATATTTATCTGAAAGAGGTAATGCGTATTTTGAAAACTTGTTGTAAGGCAACTGTTAACGCATGTTTCAGCGATAATAAAACGAATAAATGGTTCGATGAAAGCTGTAAACAAAAGTATACTGTATATAAAAATGCTGTTTTAGAATTTAATGCTAACAAATCTGTAGAAAATAGAGAATTATTATATTTAAAAAAGAAGGATTATAAATATCATTGTAGAAAAGTAAAACGGAACTTTGACAGAAAACAAGCTGCAAAAATGAATGAATTGAGAAACAAAAAGCCAAAAGAATTTTGGAGGATGTTTCGTCAAAGTAAATCAACCGTGTCTGATGAAAACATAGATTTGGATGATTTTTATAATCATTTTAAGAACTTAGCATCTGAATTTTCTGTTGCGGAAGATGACGAAATTGAAGATTTTTTACATATTTTTGATGAAAATGCAAATTTTAACTCTACTTTTGAGGAGCTTGCTGTACCTTTTACGACTGATGAAATAAAAAAAGCTATCAAAAAACTAGGAACAAATTAAAGCTAGCTCTTTTGACCACATTATGTACGAGTATTTTAAAGAAGGTATAGATATTTTAGACAAACCTTTAGAAATATTGTTCAATCATATTTTAGATACGGGTTGTTTTCCCCAAATCATGGTCACAGGGAGTTGTTATACCTGTTTTTTAAAAAATGTGATTCTAGTGAACCTACTAATTATAGAGGTATAACATTAATCAGCTGTTTTGGCAAAAATTATTTACTGTTGTTATTAATGAGCGTTTAAAAAAGTGGGCTGATATTAATGATATACTCACTGATGCACAATTTGGTTTTAAATGTAGCTATAGCACAGTAGACGCTATATTTCTCCTTCATGCTTTTATAGAACGACAATTAAAACAAAAAAAAGAAATTATATTGCTGTTTTGTTGATCTTATGAAATGCTTTGATTCTATTTACAGAAATGCCTTATGGTAAAATTGATAAAATATGGTATAAATGGACGCTTATTTTGTGTAATTAGGTCTCTGTATGAAGATGTTAAATTATGTGTACGTCATATGGATACCTTGTCTGATTTTTTCAAATGTGATGTTTGGATTATTACAAGGGGAGATAATTTCTCCGATACTTTTCTCATTATTCGTAAATGACATTGAGTTGTTTTTACAAAAAAGATGATAGTTCTTGTTTGACATTAGAGCAACTTTCTATATACCTACTACTTTTTGCCGACGATGCAGTCATTTTCTCAGAGACGGCGCATGGGCTTCAAACTTCATTACATAATTTAAAAGACTATTGTAATAAATGGCAATTAAAAGTAAATGTTAATAAAACGAAGGTTCTTGTATTTAAAAAAGGAAGAATGGCCAATGTAAATGAACATATTTATTACGACGGGGAAGAATTGGAATTTGTTTCAAGTTTTAATTACTTAGGTATTGTGTTATCTAGTGGTGGATCTTTTAAGACAGCAACAAAAACATTAGCTGATAAAGCTCTTTAAAGCTATGGGCTCATTATTTAGTATTACAAAATGCATTGAAGTTTCTGTAAATATTATGTTAAATTTATTCGATTCATATGTTGCATCTATATTGAATTATTCTTGTGAAGTATGGGGGTTTGAAAAAGCGGAAAATATTGAACGAATACACAGAAAATTCATGAAATGGATACTTAATGTTAAAATGTCAACTGCTAATTCTGCATTATATGGTGAATTGGGTAGATATCCATTATATGTAGTTAGACAAGTTAGAATTGTTAAATATTTCCTAAAGTTGTATGTTGAAAAGGATTATAACTGTATTTTATCAAGCACAATGAACACTTTAAGATATGAAGCTGAAAAAATTGTAACTTTGTGAACTGGGCATCTAAAGTCCGAGATTTACTACAAAACACTGGTTTTCACGAAGTATGGATGTATCCTTCTTCGGTAAATATTAATATGTTTGTTCCTATTTTTCGTACTAGAATTATTGACATGTATATAAATAATTGGAGACAAGATATTTGTTCAAAGTCATCTTTGTTTTTATTTAAAGAATTAAAGCCAGATTTTCAAAGGTCCGAATATATAAATAAAATGAAAATGTCGTAGTTTAAGAAATATTTTAGCTAAAATACGTTTATCTTCACATGACCTACATATTGAAACTGGTAGACATAGAAATATAGATAGAAACGATAGAAAATGTACACTGTGCCAATGTAATGATATTGAAGACGAATACCATTTTATTTTAATATGTCCAATGTATGCTTTACTTAGAAATCAGTATATTCCTAGGTATTATCATAGACACCCGAGTATGCTCAAACTCACACAATTGTTGAATTCTACAAATGTAAAGGTCTTAAACAAATTGGCTCTGTTTTGCAGAAATGCTTTTAAATTAAGAACAAATGAATTAAATTCTTTGTTATGATCTGATGAAATATGTAAAGTTGTTTGCATGTTTATAATATGATATTTACATTATTACTATGTGCATGTAAAATTTATTGTATGTAACGATGAACTGTAAATGTTCAAGTTAGATTCAAATAAAATTTCTGTTCTGTTCTGTTCTGTTCTGTTCTGTTCTGTTTAAATAAATGATACATCAATTTTTACAAAGAACTACTTATTGATTTTTGTTACAAATCTATTCAAATGATGAAAACAATGGTAAATTTTGCTATGTATTTTTAAGTGAAAGGCAAGGAAAGTAACCAATATTTTAAAATGCAGCAACAGACAAAATATTTAATTTTCAAATGGTGTATAATATAATGGTGAGCATTAGTGCAAAGGCAATAATAAGTCCTCTTTAATTCTTCCTTAACATTAATAAGTGAAATGCATTTTTTAAGTAAGCATTTAAATGTTTCTGGGATAAAATACAGTAATACCATTTTAATCCAATTATCTAATCAATTATGAGATAACTGTTGAATAAACAACCAATCAACATGTTGAATAAACAAGGTGACATGCATTAAACACTTAATGGATGAAAGTGCATTGCATAACATTGGGCAATACAATGTATAAACAGCTTTAACTGCTTAAAAGCTTTTAAACAGCTAAAAAGCTTTTAAACTTTATAAAAAATAAATGAGAAATGCAGTATGATTATGTTATAATTTATATTTTTTTTATAAACTATACTATGTATTCATGTATTAAATATAAATTTCACAGGTATAACAAAAGCTGCCTACAATAGAGCTAACAGAAGACGCACACCACTCACTTTTGTTTGTCAGGCATGTTCTACAAATGATGTTCATGTCCTACACTCAACCTTGGTGGATGAGGTAATTCTTGTTAAAATTGATAAATGATACTAAAAATACACATATTACTTAGTCAACTTTTATAAATTTCTTATAATCAATAACTCCATACAAAGCAAATTATATATAAATAAAAGAGTCTTAATGTTGATAAGGTACTTTTTCATAATTGATAAGAAACATTAAAAAGTATGCATATAGTCAAATTTTATAAATTTCTAATTATATTCTAAAGTTCAAATTAATCAGCAAGATTTTTTTCGTAATTGAAGAGTCTTAATGTCATTTAATCACCAAGACTTTTTGCGTCAAACTAATTAACATGTCTATAATTTCAGTCTCCAACCAGAACTGCACCCTGCAATCCTACATTTGAATTAGAGATTAGAGAAAGTGGGTGAAATCTATGGACGGTTATGAAATTGTGGTTTTTCGAACCAGTAACAGATACTGGAAATATGTGCTGAAAGTTCTGGTGCTAACAGGATATCCAGTGTTTAACACTGTTGCAGAATAAAAAATGTCTGTGAAGGTCTCCTCCGACTGAAACTGTAAATAAATATATATATATACATGTACATTTGTGTACATGTGTGTGTTCTCTCAATGTTATGTTTCAATGATATAATATATATATTAGTGTTTGTCAGCTGTAAATTGTTGTTCATGTTAAATGTTTTACTAAAAAATAATAAAAATAAACATATCAAGGCATTATGTTGTTGACTTATATACTTTATATAAAAAAATGGATGAGGGGTGAAGTGTCTTAGGGTATTTTGGGGGGTGAAGTGTCATGAGGGGTGAAGTGTCTTCAAAATTTGAGGAGTGAAGTGTCTGGGGGGTGAAGTGTCTTGCTACCCCCAAAACATACATATAGACATCCGACAATGCTATTTAGTATAAAACCCATTGTCTTTCTTGACTTGATATTATACTGTTCAAATTTGGAGTAAAATAAATCATCGAATAGTTTTTAATGTATAATAACTTAATAATATTACAAGCCTAATAAGAAATGTGGCAGGCCCATTATTCTCAAAAAAAAACAACATTCCTAATAGAATTAATCATTCCTTTTCCGACACGACCCCGGCAAAAGATGCAGACTGGTTCGACAATGAATGTAAAAGAACAAAAGCGACATATTTAGACGCTTTGAATGCGTTTAATGCATGTAAAACAAGATCAAGTAGAGAATATTTTTATAGATGTAAACAAGAATATAAGAATATAATAAGAAAAAAGAAAAATATTTACTTAAAAGAAGCAAATATGCAGATATAGAAAAATTAAGGTTCAGCAAACCGAAACAATTTTGGAAGTACTTTAAATAGAAACAAAGTTTAGCACAAAACAATGAAATTACAGTAGAAATTTTTTATAGTCATTTTAAACATTTATATAACGACGTCTTTGAATGTAATAATGATTTTGTGAAGAACATAATTTTTATGATTCTGGCTGTGCTTTCGATGAATTGAATATACCAATTACAATTACTGAAATTTTGGAAGCTGTCAAATCTCTTAAAAGGCAAAAATCTACAGGTAAATGAATACTTTATACAATCAATAGATATCTTGGGTTCACATATGTGTAATATATTTAATGCAATTTTTGAGTCTGGGATTTTTCCAGATAAATAGACCGAAGGAATAATTGTTCCTATATACATAAAAAGGTCGATGTTAATAATGTACAATATTATATAGGAATAACCCTTCTAAACTATCTATTTTAAATAAACGATTAGAACCATTTTGTGAAAATAATCATGTAATCTCAGATGCTCAGTTTGGATTTAGAAAAGGCAGATCTACTGTTGATGCCATATTTATTTTACATTCAATTATACAACATTATATAAACAACAATAAACGATTATATGTTGGATTTATTGACTTGAAATCTTGTTTTGACAGTATAAATAGAAATTGTCTATGGTTAAAATGGAAAATAGTCAACTCGGCCCTATACCAACTAGGCACGGTTCAACTCGGCACGGGTCAAATCGGCCCACTTTACAAAAATATATATAACGTATTAACTTTGCTTTGCATAATGCATAAATGAATAATAAGAAATATCTTATTATTATATAATTATACATTGTACTTATTCTGAAATAAAGTATATTTAGAAAAAAAAAGTTATTTATCTGTCTTGCAGATTCGATAAAATTAATATAGATCTAAATTCTAATAAAATGTGTTTGTAAAGTAATATTAAAAAAAAATGAAACAAAAACGTGTTTACTTAATATCATAAGCTTCTAATTAAATCTTCCGTATAAGCGCATTGATTGTTGCCGAAATTTATTTACACGTGTCATATGTTTTTTTTTCTTCTATCAAATAGAAAGACTTTGTCTGTGCATTATCTAGTTAAAGTAATAAAGAACAGAACAGAATCGTTTATCTTTACTCGCAATTCTACTGATAAGAAAAGCTTGTCTGCTGCTAGTTCGAAACTGTCAATCCGTGTATTATAAATAATTACAATAATTACAATAAATAGTGTTAACACAAACCTAAATATTAATAATTGAATAGTGGGCCGAGTTGACCCGTGCCGAGTTGGAATAGGGCCGAGCTGACTCGGGGGCCGAATACGTTTTAGGGCCGAGCTGACCCGGATTCGTTAAAATTATATAAGTGTGGTGTTCAAGGTAACATCTTTTTGGATATTGTTACGTATTTTGGTCCATAAAAAACCTTCTCTACACCTCCTGTGAAAATTAAATTGTCTGGTCAATACTTTATTATATTAATATTTCCCTACGATTCAAATAGATTTATCATAAAACTAAAGATGTGGGGAAATGACATCACGCGCACCTGTTTTTATACGGTCAATACACAAACATGGCCGCGCTTACTGATTTGTAGAAATCGGTGATTTAGCGATTTAAATTTTGTTATCATTCGTTTAATATTATTATTTGGCGGCAGAAAATTTGGAGATTTCTTATTTATAGTATTCTTTTTCTGAATTCAAGTTTTTATTCTAACCATTTCTTTCCCTTTAAAGATATTTACAATAAAGTTAAATCTTGTGTACGTTCTTCACGGTGCATATCCATATCGGTACCCTCTTTGCGAAATCTGCTGAAACGGTACCCTCTCTGAACATGCACAGGTCATTCTCTGCTAAAAACAAACCAGCGATGGATACCAATCCAGTAAAATTTCATTGTAATAAGGAAAGGAGGTATGTCACGTAGAAAAGATGTATACCGCGGAACACTAGGATGTTTTATTTATGCGCTGATTTGTCATGTGCCCGTTTTTCATGTACTGTAACTTCACAATAAGCTACAAAAAATCGACATGTCTTGCTTCGCCCATCACCTTCTCGACATATTTTTCGGGCTGAAATGAACCTGTGGCTTGATTATATACGCATCATACATATTTAATATGTTCATATACATATCATCTTTCT